GTGCGATCGTTTTCCTTGAGACAGCTCACCACAGAGGAACTGTTTAGGGATGAGGTGGTTTGGCATCCTTGCAACATGGCTTGCCCAGCATGTCTGGGCTTTCATCAGCAGGGTGTGAACTGATGGCAGGCCTTCTCTGGAGAGGACTTCTGTGTCTGGCACCTTGTCTTGCCACCGGATCCTCATAAATCTGCGAAGGCAGGTCATGTGGAAGTGGTTCAATTGCTTAGCATGCTTTCTGTATACAGTCCACGTCTCACTGGCATACATCAGGGTAGTTAGCACTACTGCTCGGTAGACTTTGAGCTTTGTAGCAGGCTTATTCCTCGGTGGTCCCACACGTTGGTCAGTAGTCCACCAAATGCAGAGCTTGCCTTGGCAATTCTGCAGTTGACCTCAATGTCAATTGTCACTCTGCAGGAGAGGATGCTGCCAAGATATGTAAATTGGTCCACTGCTTGCAGCTTTTGTCCCTTCACTGGTGAGTGTTGGGCTTTTGGAGTTGGCTGATGCATCACTTCGGTCTTCTTTGTGTTGATGAGGAGGCCGAAGTTGTCGCATGCTGCTGCAAATTTGTCCACACTGGCTTGCATTTCCTGCTCTGATCCAGCATTCAGGGCACAATCGTTAGCAAAAAGGAGATCTCGTATCACAGTCTCCTTTATCTTGGTGACAGCCTGGAGTCTTTGCAAGTTGAACAGTTTCCCATCAGTCCTGTATCTCAGGCTAACTCCCAAGGAACTGTTCTGGAAGGCGTCTGACAGCATGGCTGAAAACATTAGGCTGAACAGGGTTAGTGCCAACACGCAACCTTGCTTGACGCTGTTTGTAATGGGAAAGGCCTCTGAAGCTTCTCCATCGTCCAAAACATGAGCCATCATGCTGTCATGGAACTGATGTACCATTAGGATGAATCTATCAGGGCATCCAAACTTCGACATGATGTGCCACAGACCTTCACGACTGAAAGTGTCAAAAGCCTTGATGAGATCCACGAAGATACAACAAAGGTTGTGGCAGGCAGATTGATTTGAGAGAATGATTTGAAACATCACAGTAGCATCCCTTAACTATATGCCATTAAAAATTATGTCCAAAGTTCAGAAAAAGAAGGGTTTTCTTCTGAGTAAGTCTGGGCTAAAATGCCCCTCCCCAAATAAGCAAAAAACATTTGTGAAAATGAAATCATATCCTTGAAGGCAGAACAATCTTCAGATTGTGAAAATGCATGTTGTGAGAAAGAAAGAATTCTATTCATGAGCTTTAAAATAGCAGCCTGAAGACTGATGATGTTTTATACATATCCTAATTGCAGATTTCCTCTTGAATTGCTTATGGTTAGAGTATGCCATCTGGTGTTCTTCTGAATATAGAGAGTAGTGATATGAGTAGCTGTAATTAATGTAATATAGATTAGGGATTCAGTATTTCTTGTTTTCATGTCTTTCAAGTAAGACAATAAGCAGGGCATTCTTTTGGTTTTTTGATGCTAAGAAATAAATACGTTTATAATCATATGTTTGAAGTGTGTACCACGAAGTGTCCATACTGGAAAGATTCCTGAGAATGACAGCTTCTCATAGCTATGGATATGTTTTTTAAATTACTCCTTTTAATGAAGTATATACAGGTTTAAACTACTTTATTCAATCCTAGTGTGGGATGGTACCCATTAAAAAGTGCTGTTAAACTAGACCAAAGCTCTTTGTCGCACAACATTGTATCTCTTGCTGCTTAAACAATGCCTAAGGAAAGCCCACATGATACGATTGCCATAATATTTTTTGCTTCCATCCTGCAACAGCTGTCATTCAAAGGGAACACTACTATTGACCGTAGAATATGTTCCATCTGAGACTAGATTTTTCTAGATACAAGTAACAATGTCAAATATTCCTTGCCAAACTAAATGTAGTCATGATCCCTCTGGGTTTTTTTTTATGTCTTAGACTCATTCATATAAAGGATGGGCAGACACTCACTCACTCATCACTCTCTTCATTCTGGAAAGAAGTATATATTAGTAGTTTAGTCCTGAAAAATATTCCTTCACTTTTGTAACACAAATATTAAATAGTGACATGTAAGTATGGAAACTCAGACTTGGTAACTTGAAATAAATTATAGTGCTAGCTATCAGAGACAGAGCTGCTCATGCATATCTAACCCTTCCCAGTCACTTTGTTTACCATCCCTGGCTGACGTGCAATATTGCAGAAAAGGGATTGCCTATCCTGGTTACCTAGATCTGTAGCCTACTGTATAATTTACCAGTTCAGATAGTTGGTAAGAGCCATGCTTCTACAAACTCCTTCCATGAGTGAATGTGGTTCCATCCATACTTTGTTTAGGATATCATATGGGCCAGACAGAGAAGTGTGCTTAACATGCTAAAGAATCTATAGGCAGAACTTTCTGTAGTTTTTTAGCTATGCCCGTGTGGGAAAGAGGACCCAGAGGGCATTATTATAGCAGTAGGCATGTAATACCACTTTTTGTGTGAGGGTGGAGATTTGTTCTTCGAGCTTGTGCGTTCTAAACATTTTGTTACCAGGTTAGGTAATATTTTCAGCAGAGTTTAGGGGATGTCAGTGTTCCTCTGTTTGTAAGGGCTTGGTGTGGTCAGTAGGTTTTTGTAATGGGGAGGTCACATCAGGTTTTGTCTAAACCTCAAATGGACTCAGTTTTCAGCTATAATGCTTAAAATAATGTGACGTTCTGTATGAAAATAGCAACTTCAACAGTATAACATATCATTGGAACCACAAATATCAGTAACATGCTGGCATTCCCTAATCCTTCTGTGGAATAACCACAAATAAAGGATTTATTAAACTATTTGATTTAGTTATATGCAGTCTCTTTTATGGTGAAATGGGCTTAGAAGTGAACAGTATACAAATAATACTTGCAAGCAATCAGTTTTCTGTCAAAAAATTTTGCCTCTTGATCAGGGGTTCTAGGCATTTTTTAACAGGTTCCATAGCCCGATAATGTTTGAAAACGTCTGGTTTAGATAAAATTATCGTTAATCAACTATTTGTGAAGAGATTACATTGTTCTTTGTCTCTGCTCATTATCTTGAATAAATTTATTATACAGGCAGGGTATACATATTGGGTTAAACCAAAATATTATTTTATTATTTGAAGATATAAGTTGTGTAATAACGTTACTGATCCTGACAGAAATTTTCTTCAGAAAAAAACAGATTATATGAAATATACACATATACTATGTGTTTCCATTAACATAGTAAATGTATAATTTTAACAATTCTTTATCCATTGTAAGCCACCTATTGTCATATATGTTAAATGGGAAGATATACATTGGGTGAATAAATGAATAAATTAAATTTATATAGCCACCTATCTCATGAGAATTGAGTTAGTAGAACTGTTTTGTTTGTATGTTTGTTTGTTTGTTTGTTTGTTTGTTTGTTTGTTATGATTTGGGTTCAGTGGTTAAAAATAAATTGTTATACTTATTCAGTACTTATTTACTACAGATTTATTTAGATTGCATTTTACCCATAGTTTGACCACCTGTTAAAATAAAGCATATACTATTTGTGTTTTAGAAGCAATTAAGTATATTAAAAAAATCCACCCAGAAGGCATACATTTTTTCTCATCTCTTATTTCCAAAAATGTCTGTATATATACATGTATACAGTTCTATAGGGTTTTTCTTTTTAAATACATTATTCTCTGGCTCATTATGAAATTATATGAACTCCTGTGCAAGTTTCTAATGTTTTAATAGAGTATTCAAGAAGAATTTTGCAGTTTTTTTTATGAGGACTTGGTCCTCTCCAGTAGTGAAAACTTGAATAAGCAAGGATCAATACTAAACATTCAATATTCCACTCAAGGTATCATCAAAGAGGAAACTGCATCTCCCTCAAAACTGGCAAGTGAAGTTACTATGCACAAACAGACAGCAAACCCTGTACTCACTTGCATTGATGATGTTACCTAGTTGGGTAGTGAAACATTGACAAGCCAACAACCAAGCTCCAAGAGCCCCAAGAACTTTGTAATTCAGTCCTGAGCTGCATATATTCCCTTCTATTGGAATTCTTATTTTACCCAGACCATTGGTTCATTTTGTTAATTCCTACTGCTGATGGGATCTAGAAGAAGAGCCTTCTCTTCTGTAGTGTTTGTTCTCTGGAGCATCCTGCCCCCAGGGGGTGAGGTTTGCCCCCACCTCACCCCTGGGGGCAGGATGTTCCAGAGGCCTGATACTACAGCAAAGAAGGCTCTTCTTCTGGATCCCATCAGCCAGAGTTCCTTAAATGACTGGATCCATAGCCAGCCTCCCCTGCCAGCATGAGTAGGGCGGGCTTGTCTTAGCTGGATGAGATGGCTCATCAAGTAACTTGGACCCTGCCATGGAAAGCTTTAAAAATCATAACCAACACCTTGAACTGCACCCATAAGCAAACTATCAGCCAGTGCAGCTCACGAGACAGTGCTGTAGCATAGGCCATTCTATGGGACCCAAAGACTAATTGTGCTGCTGCACTTTGTATTTAGTTGAGGCTTCCAAATGCATTTCAAGGGTAGCCCCATGTATTGCTCATTGCAACAATCCAGATGAGAGATGACTAGGGCTTGAGTGACTAAGTGTATAGAGTCTGATCTAAGAAAGGCTGCAACTGGTGCATAAATTGAAGCTCTCCAAAGCTCTCCTAGCCATGACCATCACCTGCTAGATTTCCTGTGGAAGAGACAAAATTGCTTCACTGCTGTTCTTTCTCTTGGTATTTTTCTCAATATGATAACACTGCATCATCTTATTTTCTTTCCTTTATCCCATAGTCTTTTGGCCAAATAAGGATATAGAAAGAAGTGGATAAATTATGCTCCCCATTTCACATGCTTGGAGAAATCTTTGCATTGTTGAACAGAGGAGTGGCAGTAATGATGGTAATAACAGTCTATTAACAAATATTCACTGAGCTGCTTTTTTCTTCTCCCTGGGATTTTCAGTGGCTACAGGGTGAATATGCTGGTTCCTCCTTCATTCACAAAGTCTACATCCATGGATACAGACTTTCCCAATAAAGCTTCTTGTGACAGAAGAATGTGCTTCTACTGGATTACATGCTCTACATGCTATGTAAGCATATCTTGATCTCAGTTTTCTCTTTCCTTTGTCTAAAGCTACAGTTCTGCATGGTTTTCTGTTCCATAACTTAAGATAGAATTTTCATAATTTTGTTCATGGAGACTGATGGTGAAAGATTAGTCAACTAACTTACCTTAACCATTTTACTGTGTTCATAATTATAGGTCTTCTCCAATGGTGGGTTTCAACCGGTGTTACCACCGGTTCACTTTGCGCACATGCATTCCATTTCATAATAGCTGAGGCGCAGCAATCCACTCTGCTGCGCCTATCAGCTGGGCTAAAAACAAACAAATATAGGTAGGTATAGCGCAAGGGTGGGCAGGGGGCCCCAGCTGACAGTCGGAGCAAACCGATTCGTTCTCACCTCAGCATTGCTGCTACCGGCTTGCCCGAACCGGGGATAACCGGTAGCACCCCACCACTGGTTTTTTCATATACAAAATATGAATGATTTGTTGCTTTTAATAGTGTGCTCCTTTCATTTAACATTTACCTTGCTTTTACAAATAATTTTCACTTACCAATTGCCTCATATAATGGCCATTCAAAGTTACAATGTTGCTGTCCTCAGTCATGTTATCTCCATTACACTCATCAGTATGCATTGTCCTATGCTTGACTTGTTCTTCTGTTTTCCCACCTTGCAGAGCAGAGAGACTAGAAAGGAAGGGATTACAAGAGAGTAAGGAAACACACAGTGAGAATACACATAAAAAACAATGTGACCATGCCAGCAGCCCAATCTCTCCATTCTGCAAGAATGTGAGAGGGGAACAAGCAATTTTTGCAGGCAGTCCCTTCTGTGTCTGACCTGTTTCTTCCCCCTCTCCCCCTTCACAATGAATGTAAATACAAACAGTAAATTCCTTGTTAATTATCCCAGCACTGGCATGTGCATTCCAAAACGTATTGGATTGGTTAGGAAGCAAATGAAAGCCAAAGGTATGAAACTGATTAATCTTACCAGTTTTGAGCTGGAAAGCACAGTTGCAGGCATGTGATTTTCCACTTAGCAACTGCTTTGCTTAGTAATGTTGCTGGTCCCAACTGTGGTCGTTAAACAAGGACTACCTGTATAAAAAAATCAGATACTTCTTCATAGTCATTTGCATATGGGATTATTCTTAGTCTTGACTAGTGGAAGTACTAGTTTGGGCATAAATAGATCCAAAAGTTAGTCCCATAGAGAACACAATTTCTGTAAGGAGAAAAGAATATCCTATATCAGGTTAGCTGTTAGAATGAATTATACTTGGCTCTTTTAATCACCATGTGTTGTCACTGCTGGAAATGGTGTGTGATACCAAAATGCAAGACGAGTGAAAGATTACTTTACTTATTTCTAGTAGTTGTCTGTAAAAATGAATACCTTGTATTCTTATAAAGCAAGGAGCACTACAAATCAACATCTTGATTTTTAGCATAATAGAAAGGGAAAAAATTAATACATGCTATCTTCCTTGGTGGGAAATTAGAGCAATAAAGTTTAAAGACAGAATAAGAAAGAATGTCTGGGAGATTTGCCGGTTGAGAGACTCTTTTGGTTTTGGAGATATGGTGAAGTTGTGCTGGCTTCTTGCTCTCATGTGAGATATAAGAGTAGTGGTGTTGAATGTTTGATAATATTATGATGGACCCATAAGAGCTGGGATGGAAGGGAGCATTATGGTGGACAGAAATGAAGTAATGGGAAAATATGGCAAGAGGAGGGGTCAGGCCAATTTCAGGGAAGATGGACCTGGTGTTTAAGTGTGGTATTAATATATGGTATATTCCATCTCGCTGCACTCTGCCCCAGAGCTTGGTCTGCTGCTGCTTAATGTCAAGTTAGCCTCCAACAAAGCTCATCTCATCCATAATTTGATCATGGGTAAAGGGGCCATCTTGGTGCCTATGGAATTTGGTTGGATGCAGAGAGGGGATCTTTCTCTCTGAAAAATGTACACTCTTGGGTTTTAAGTGTGGTATCAGCTGCAATTCCAGGGCAGAGGTGGGTGTGGCTGCTGTTATCTGAAAAAGTTTGGTTGCCAGACATAGCCAAATGGGAGAGCCTTTTTTGTGGAATTGGGCTATAGGGGTCATTTGGTTTTATTGCTTGCCTTCCTCCATACTTAGCGGTGGCTCTATTTGAACTCCTTGACTATGTGGCTGAGTTGCCAGTGGACCTAATGGTGCTTGAGGATGCCCTTCTCATTCTTTGGGCCCGTTGATTGAAAGTTCATGGCGCCATGGCAACCATTGACTTGATCCATTGAACTTATTGATGGCCTACATCATAATCACACATTGGGCCTGGCTTTTGTCTCAGGGCAGTGGAAAAGTAAGCTATGGCTAGGGGATGTTAACATTAGTCCCTTGCCATGGACAGATTACTCCCTCTTGGCCCTGGAGTTTATAGCCAAATCTTACTGCAGGGAGATTGGGACTACTCAGTCAGTCTGCCCCAGGTAATTGATGGACCTCATTGGGGTTCAGAGAGCATTTTGGATCTTTCATGAACCTCTGGTGCACAATTCAACTGAGGTGTTAGTCATGGCTTAGAAATGAGCACATGATGAGGGGTTTGGATCCATTAGCACCCATGCAGATTTTCTGTGATCATGGATCCTATAGAATCCTTGTAGGAGGGCTCTATAACAATGCAAGTGATGTCTAGAGCAGTGCTGGAGAAAGACAAAGAATAAAAGCAACTAGGCACAGATAAGAACTTATTATAAGTTGTAATTTGTAAGAGCAGCAAAGCATTCTCACTTCTGTACTCTTTCATCCATAGATAGCCAGCCAACGGTTCTTTGTCAAGTGATTTGGGCTCTCCTAGGACTGGATGAGCTATTGCAGGATTGCTATGAGAATTATTCTAGGGATCATTTGAACAACTTTGTTTGAAGTTAAACTCTGGTTGGCTGTGAAAATAGCTAGGGCACGTTTAGTTATTTGAAAGGAGAAATTATGAACCCCTTATGGACTTTTGTGTAAAAAAAGAAACTAACTTTGTGATTTATGGTTTTGATGATTAAAAAGAGTAGGTTATAGAAAGAAAGGAATTGTGATATAATCTTAGAGAGAGGTTTGATTAGTTTTCATCTCTTAACTGCCAAATCATAAACCATTTCTTAAAATGGAAGTTGAATTTAGTATCAAACAATAACTCTTTTGATAATATTAGAAGTATACATTGTGAATGACTAAAAGAGTGTCCTGTGAAACAAGGCCTAGTTATAATGCATAATAGAAACTAGATGATCTAGGTTTTGTTCTTTGCTTAAGAAAACAATGCTTGTTTAATACTTGAAAAAACAATGGAGGCAAATAGGGATTAGAACTAAGATGCATTGAAGCAGTACTGAGAGTGCTACTGGTAGCTTCATGCTTAAACTGCTAAAAACTTAAAATACAGGAAAAAGCAATTGATATCTTAAAATTTGCAATAACTTTGTGCCTTGTTGAGGCTTACTATAGATTATTAACTGTTATCAGATTTTATTTTTTTTTTAGAATAGAATAGAATTCTTTATTGGCCAAGTGTGATTGGACACACAAGGAATTTGTCTTTGGTGCATATGCTCTCAGTGTACATAAAAAGACAAGATAATTGGTCAAGAATCATTAGGTAACAACACTTAATGATAGTCATAGGGTACAAATAAGCAATCAGGAAACAATCAATATCAATATAAATCGTAAGGATACAAGCAACAAAGTTACAGTCATGCTGTCATAAGTGGGAGGAGATGGGTGATAGGAACGGTGAGAAGACTAATAGTAATAGTAATGCAGCCATAGTTTTTCATAGATTTTCAGCCATAGTTGCAAAAAATTCTTTGCATTTGTACAAGTTGTACAAGTAGTGAACAAGGAATGACTAAAAATCACAGCTGCCATTTGATTAAGGATATTAAAAATAGGCCCACTAAATACTGAAACTGAATAGACATATTTGCTAGTTTTGTGTAGACTGCATAGAAAACAGTGTATTATATCAGTCCAAGCAAATGGACATGGAAGGTGACAAAAAGTGAAAGAAACAGGAATGAAAGTAGAATGACTGTAGGATGAAAAAGTTTCAGAATGAATGAAGGTTGAAGAAAGAGGATGTGGAAGGAATAGAAATAGAAATAGAAATAGAATATTGTGATTGGAATTTGTCCAATCACCGGAGACAAAAGGAATTTGTCTCTAGTACATAAGCTCTCAGTGTACATACAAGCAACAAAATTGTCTTTCTAATGTTAGATTTGTTAGAAAGTACATAGATGCGTATATATACACATATATGCCACCCACCAAGGCAAAAAAACAATTGAAGATATATCCTACTTTATATCTAGAATAAGTCTGACCTTTTAGTGGCCATAAGAAATTATGTTTATTTCTGCTCCCAAATCCATTCTAAATCTAGGGAATGTATATACGGCATAAACTGGATGTGTGCCAGCCACTTCCAATTTATCTGAACCATACACTGGAATTTCAATAATTGGCCTCTTCTGCAAATCTGGAAAATTGGTGGCTAGAGGATGTATCTTTTGGCTGACTCATGAATGTAGTATCTAATCCCTAGGGGGATCATGACCTTTCAGAGGAATAGTAATATGAGCAAACCTCAAAGTAGCAATAGTTCTGAAAGACTTCTGCATGTAGATAATTAAATTACCGTAGCTTTTCCACATTTATTGACACTACAAGATACACAATTTGCCTCTGCAGATGTGGCCTTTGCTGCACAATCTACAGAGTGCTCTAGGCTGAAGATGTTAACCCCAGTAAGCTACTTTCTGTAGGCTCACTTTTTCTGGTGATCAAGTTGAAATGAACCATGAAATATTCTTGTCTGGAGAGATAACACAACAGTATCCAGTGAAGTAGCATGTGTGTAATCCAGATTAAATCCTTTTCCTTTATGTTTTATTATATTGATTTATTTATTGGTTATAAGAAATAAAATATAGTCTATATAGCTTAAGTTAATTCCTATGACTAAAGGGAATTTTCTCTAGAACCAGGAATACAGTTCTGTTCAGCCCTGCCTTCTTACTTGAACAGGAGTTAATTTTTTCTTTTCAGGTTTATCATCTAGTAGTAGTCAGAAAAATGCTTCATGGTAAGTTCAGATACAGATCCCCCCAAAGTTTTAATGAATAATAGAAATGATATTATAAAGTTTTAAAGAATTTTTATGCAATTATACATTGTAGAAAATAGAGGTTGTAGCAATTTTTGTACATCTCCCTTTGCATTGATAACTGCATGAGTTTGTAGATTACTGTAGATATTAATTTACTTTGTTACCTCTCTAGATCTAATGTAATTTTCATATTTTATTAAATCAAATCGATCAAAATAATGTGTGATTGTGTGTGTGTGTGTGTGTATGTGTGTGTGTGTGTGTGTGTTTCTGTCTTTCCTTGTGTCTATAAATGGTGGTAACAATGTTGAGTTATTTTTTAAAAAAGAAAGAAACCAAAACAAACTAAATTATTAATAGTCCCATTCCTTTGTTTTTTACAGAAACCAAAGCCCCAAAACAAAACCTAATTCAAACATTGAATTTCAAACTTTCAAAATAGGTGAATATAACCAACAAAAATAGATTCATGTTTACAAACAGAAATCCAGTAGAGTCAACTCAAAATGTGCCAATACTAAGACAAGCACAAATCATGTCAGTTAGGCTATATTTTGCTGATTTCCAAAAGCAACAAGATGCACCCAACATCTGCTAAATGTTCTCTGAAGGATCAAATATATTAAAATCCACATTTTCTGTAATGTTAGCATATTTTAAAATAAAAAGAAACTAGGTTTACACTTGTGATGTAAGGTTCCATTTTCATGACCCACTGAATCTGATTATTCTATAAGTAACATAAATAGTATTAATTTATTTTAAATATTCTAACTTCTCATAAAAATGTGTTATGAGTTTAAAGAGTTGCAGTTGATTCGTCGAAGACTTTTAACAGAATTTTAGAAGCAATGCGTCTAGACAATATATTTTGTAGTAAATTTGTAGCAACAATCTTGATTTTGTCATATATACAATTTATGTTCCTGTTCTTTGTATTTCTATTACAGAAAGTTAATATTGTGCCCGGTGACCCTTTTCAGGCTCACTAGCCATGCCAGGCATTGTGGTGTTCCGTCGTCGCTGGTCTGTGGGAAGTGATGATCTTGTTTTGCCTGCCATTTTTCTCTTTCTTCTTCATACAACTTGGTAAGTGAAAATATACATGAGAAGAAGACTTCTATTGTTAGGTCATAAGCCATTGATATTTGTTTTGTAATCTTCATGTCCAGGTATTCATACTACGTTGCAATTTAAAATATTCTGCTAAAGTTCATATATACAAAGCAGTATGGAAATGGATCTATGCAAGTATAAGGTTCTGGCTCAAATAATTCTTTTTAAATGTTTTGTTCCACTACTATGGTTCTGTAATGCCTTCAGGAAAGTTGTTGGAGTATCCAGTTTATTCTTAAATCAGCTAAAAAGAATTGAAAAACAACAGAATTATATTAAAGAGAAAGGAAGCCACAGAAATTATACCCATGATTGTAGTGGATGATAATTAATATTATAAATCCATTCAAATCATACTGTCAGTGTCAAAAGAAAAGTTAGAATTGTTTTGAGTGGTTTCTATGTAGATACTGCCACTGAGAAAGCCAAACCATGATGGCATCAATTAAGAAACTATTAAAAGCAGGGCTTCTTGGATCAAGCTACATTTTGAGAACTCAAAACCAGATTGGAGGCAAATGCAATTCTTCCATATCAGCCCATTAATATTTTTGTAATTAAAGTGAGTCATACTTATTCCCAAGGAGAAAAAAATTGAATAACTACAGTGGTGTTATCTTTATTAGAAATAAATATGTACAAAACCATAAACACATTTTTGAGATCCCCAGATCTTTTTATTATACAAAATGTTACAAGAAGTTGATGGAAGTGAGAAAGGAGATAAAAATACATGTTGAGCTGGTTGACCTTAAAAATCATAAAATTGGGTGGATGGACGGACGGACAGACAGACACTCCCAATCAGAGATTTAACAGAGTGGAAAAAGTTTTTTTTGTGTGAAAGGATAATGACCTCTTCTCGGTTCTGATACCTAATATTAATATCTGACCTCAGGATTCTTTTTCTGTGAGACTGGGTTTTCTGTCGTGAAATTTCAAGGTTCTAATATAAAACAGATTAGTACTTGCTAGCCTAATGTCTGTTTCCTGAACTCTGCTGTTCATGGACAAAACAATAATTGTTGGTGGTAATGGCATTTACGTGTCGTCTTCATCTTGTTGGGTAGATTCCTCATGAGCAAACAAATGTATGACATTTAGGAGCCTGTGATATTTAAGATGCATTGTGTGTGAAAGAGAGAGAGAGAGAAAGAAAGTGTGTGCACTCATGTGAATGCGTTGGCAAGCATGGTAAATTATATGCTGGGATAAAAACAATATAATTGGCATATGGGAATCAAAAAGTATGTGCCTGATAACATTTTTGCCTGCCCTCTGCTGACTGTTGAAGTATGTGCAGGTTTTTACTGTTCCCATTTCCAGGCCTCTTTACATGATGGAGAGACAGATAAATCTCAAGGGGATTGATGCAGCCTTTTTTCCCCCCTTTGTATTGCAGAGGAACACAGAGTATGTTCTGGGACACCATCCAGAAATCAGTATGTGGGCGGGGTGGGGGTGGGGGGGACTTTGTTAGCTAACCATCAGCATTTTACTATTAGAGCAGCACAAAGAATGCATAGCACCCATAAATTAATGATATAAACGAAATACAGGTTTGCTGTTGGCTGAACTGATATATTTTATTATCTGAGAATCACATAACCCCGGTACCTGAAATCAACTAAAAGCAATGTGATAATCCGTTTAGAAACTGAAACTTTGACATGTTTACTTTATGAATAACATCAAAATAATTTATCTGTGAATATAATATTACACATACTACAATATCTTAGAGATACGGTAGTAGTTTATTGTGGGATAAGCTTTTATTGGCAGCAGTTAATATCAAAAACTGCAAACAGTTTGGTTATTTATATAGTACTAACTATTCCCAGGGATTAAAAAAGAGATATTTCATTTCTCAGTTTATATAAAAGCAAAACAAACCACAACAGTTTTTTTAAAAAACTAATAAATGTTAGGCTTCTTGTTCCTTATATGGCTAAAAGTTTTTGGTCATGTGTGTATTGTCTCAGCCTTTGTCAAGTGAATGTGGCTTGTGTATGGCAGGTTCATCATCCTTTCTGTGGTGCTCTTTGGACTGGCATACAATCCCAATGAAACCTGCTCTCTCAATCTGGTGGACCATGGCAGAGGTTATTTGGGTATTTTGCTCAGCTGCATGATCGCTGAAGTTGCAATCATCTGGCTCAGCATGCGTGGCAGCATCTTGTACACAGAACCCCGGGATTCCATGCAATATGTGCTATACGTCAGACTGGGTAAGAGGCAGCGGCCAAGGGGTTTTTATTAATGTTTGGTCTTGATGCAGCTGGCTGTCATGCTCTCAAAGGCTTCTCCATTCATAATATTTACAAACACTGAGTGATCCAAGGGCATTTTCAGTTGTGGCACCAAAAAAGTCTGCATCTGGATATATGCCTGCTGAAATTAAATATTATTTGCAACTTTAGTCACTTTCATTACTTTTGCAGATATGGGAAAATATACTCCTATTTTCCCCCAAATAGGAAAATAAGCCTATTTATGCCTCCATAAAATCTGTATCAATTTTTCGTGGGCAAATGCACATTTATGAATTATTTTATTGTTAAAAAACTGACAGCCTCATTAATGAAATACATATACTTTGTCTGATGCCTTGACAGTGGTGCATGTGTGCTGTTTCTTGTATTCAGCAAAGACAAACATGTTAACATGATACTTTTAAGGATAAGTAAATGTAGTTTACTATTCTGTGAAGAGAAACACATACTATAATTATCTTTCTCAAACTCACCATTATTTCCTTTGTTCACTTACCATGAGCTTTCATTTGTAAAAAAATCTAATGCCTATCTACCCCTCCCAAAAGTGTGTGTGGAATATATTATGCTATTCACTCCAAGCCTCCAAAAAAGTCTACATACAGATATATGTAGATATATATGTGCTATAGAGAGATAAGACATTTTGGATGCTTTCCTTGTTCATTTTTATAGTTAAGGTTTCCCATTATCATTCTTTAATATTTTTCTCCTAGACAGTTACATTGCATGTTTATCTGGGTAAAAGTGAAAAGTTTTAGAATGACATTTATTTTTATTTAGTTTATGGCATATACAAAGGTTATGCAATCTCTGATGTACAACACTAATAAAACACATTATACATATAAACACAAATATAAGTTTAAAAATATAAGTTTAAATAAAACATCAGCAAATATATATGTGAGAAATACAATATATGATTAAATATTAAATTAAGGTAAAACCATGATAAGATCGCCATAAAATGTCACCATGGAATAGGATAGATGTTATAATTCGATATCTAAGCAAGCTAATCACCTAATTTCTTCTAGTGTGGCTGCAATGAGATCATCCCATTTAGAATGACACATCAGAATGGATATTTTTTTTCATTGGTTAAGAATTGCTGCTCAGAAATATGGTGAAATCAGTTGTTGTTGCTGTTGTTATTGTTGTTATACCATTGTACACTCTGTTCTTATTGTTCCAGCAATCTTGGTGATTGAATTTGTCTACGCTATTGTGGGCATTGTTTGGTTAACCCAGTACTACAGTTCCTGCAATGATGTTACTGCCAAGAGTGTTACTTTGGGTATGTCCTTATAAGTATTTATAAGTATTTAAAATCATGTTTATGCACCATAGTGTGTTGTGATTTAACCTGTTCATAGACCTAAACAAGCATAATTTTTGAGGTCTTGCTGTTTCACTGTTGTAATTTAGTTTTACTAAAAACATTCATACACATTTACTCATAGGCATAACAATTATTAGTATTAGAACTAGAAAGGAAATAACTATTGAAGTCTAACTAGGCTGTGCTTAAAAAAAAGGTGCTCTATATACATTTATGCCATGATCCTGTGAAGGACTGAAGATGTAGACTGAACAAAGTGGTGTAATGCATATGTAACTATTTGGGGGTCACTATTATTATTCACAATATTTATACCCATTGCAGCTTGCTTGATAACCCTCATTAAATATATTTTATGATATATTTATGATGCTACAGAATCTCCAAGAATATCAGACGTTTTGTACAAGAATTATCTTTACGTTGTCAAATAAAATCAAACAGGGAATATTACTCTGTGAAAAAGAATACATAAACTTAAAGCAAAGAGTACAAATGAGTCAGATCTGCCACTTACAATCTGGGCCTCATCATCTGTCTCCTCTGCTTCACTAGGAATGGTCGTCTGCAACTGGGTAGTCATTTTGAGCGTCTGCATCACTGTCCTCTGCGTCTTTGACCCAACAGGACGGACTTTCGTTAAATTGCGAGCCACAAAGAGGAGACAGCGCAATCTAAGAACATATAACCTGAGGTAAGTAAATTGTAATTGTAGAGGTTGACTCGGAGTTTTTAGAGAATAGATTTACAATTTAGATAAATGCAAATCTATTGTTTTCAATGTAGATAAGCACAAATGAGTGTATTCAATATGGCAGCAAATAATGCAGTTTACATACTGGGGATATTTTTTTGAATTGTAAATAATAAAGGCCTTGTAATATATATTAGCACAATTTTGGTTTCCAGGTGTATATTCTTTAAAATATACATTTTACAACATTTATAGTCCTCTTTACTATGCAGCAAAGTCATTTTTTTTTTCTCACAATGATACTATCATGTACATTAGACTAAAAGGTAGTGCTTTGGCCAAGATCATCCAAGTATAAATGGAATACATTAGATGTCATTCACTCAAAGCTATAAAAGAATGTGTATTTGGTTTGTCATAACTGAATGAGCCAGGAGTATTTGATAACAAAATGGTATTTTCAGCTGTGCAATTTTCTATTTTTTAAAAATAAAAAAGTTAAAATGGAGCGAAACTTTTATAATTAATTCAATCTAGCCAGTGTGATTTTCTCCCCGCAAAAATAAAGGATTTTTGACCAAACATACAGTATTAACATTTTCCATCATTTTGTTTTCCTTCACATGAAGGGTCAAACTTCTGTAATATTGCCTAGGTCCATGATGGCGAACCTATGGCACATGTGCCACAGGTGGCACACGTAGCCATATCAGTGGGCACACCAGCTCAGCTCTGATGATTGCATTTGACTGTAATTTTTTTTTCTTAAGGCATCGCTTGGAAGAAGGCCAGGCTAGCAGCTGGACCCGCCGTCTCAAAGTTTTCCTCTGCTGTACACGAACAAAAGATTCACAATCAGTAAGCAGCTACTGTCTTTTCATTAAAAAACAAATACAATTCATGATTTTGATAGTATTATAGTATGGCTGATGATGAGAGGAAATATGGTACAAGTATCCTATTGGGATATTCCACACATGTATGTTGACCCAGTGGTGCTCTGTTGTAAGAATAGAAAAGTTTTCGTAGTTGGTGCAAATAAACCTTTACAGGTAAGATGTTCATGCTTGCTTAGTTGCAAAAAAAAAAGAAGTCATTTTTAATGTAAGAGAAATACTTAGCTTGCAAAGGGGCCTAAAACTGTTGGGTGGCTAATTTTAAAATATATAGTAATCTTCCATTATCTTTTATTACTAAAAATGTGATTAAAATGGAATAATCAATTATTTAAATTATTTTCAATCATGAAACTTTTGAAAGGAATTCCACATTTTACATTAGGCAAAAGTAAAAGTATTAATAACGTTCTTCAGAACCATCTAATCTTGGCCTGTTTGCAGCTGTCAAGACATCTTACTTAATATGTAGTATCTGATACATGATATTGAATTGTGCAGATGTGTTCACCCACAATGTATTTGCTACAGAAGACATAGGTGTACTAATAGCAAATACTACTGTGTAAAATAAAACTACCTGATCTACCCCCCCCCCCCCCACACACACACACACAAATTTTCTCTGAATTCCAGACGCTAGAGACAAGAAATGTTGGTCTCTATTATACCTTCCCTGTGAGTTTTCAAGGTTTAGGATTGGAAGCCTTAAGTTGGTTGCCTTAAGGGTTGGAGGGAGGATCCAAGCCTAGATCAGTTATTGTTGTTTTGACAAATGTGATATAGTAGATAATGTATTGGATAGAAAGTGAGAGGCCTAATTCAAAAACCTGTTCCATTATTTTGCTTAATGCCTGCCCTTCAACAAATTGTGTCACAGGCCTGATTTACATAATAACATTAGTATATAACATGGTTTGTTGAACAAGTCACAATACCATGATTCACATATCACTTTCATGATGAAAGAGTGGTAGTATCACGCTAAGTCAAAACTAAGCAAACCACATTATATGTTTATCAATCTGGCCATACTATTTCATATTAGTTCATCTTATTGGCTTGTTTTTACCATATCATTTATGGATTTAAGCGTTGTTTCTTGATTACCATAGTGTAGAAAATTTGAAGTAATGCTATGTGTGTTATTTTAAATGTCCTGGAAGAAAAGTGGAATGCAAATAAAAATCAATATTTCAGCCATGTGTAGAAACTGGTAATCCATAAAATTGCTGCGTTTATACATAATACCAAGGCAGGGTTACTGTTTATTCAGTAATGGTAGCCTAATTCACACATAAACTAAATTGTAAAGGATTATTTGCATACCGTATTTTTTTTAAAAAGCAAACTCCATTGTGGTTTAATATAATGCCTTTAGCAATCCAACAAGCTAACAACTATTTCAAGCTCTTCTCTCTTGTTGCAGATTAATTTTTCACCTTTTCCTCTTTGGATCTTTCAGGATGCTTACTCTGAAATTGCATATCTCTTTGCTGAATTTTTCCGAGATCTTGACATAGTCCCATCTGATATTATAGCAGGCCTCGTTCTACTACGTCAACGACAAAGGGCAAAACGCAATGCGGTATTGGATGAAGTGAGTGTAAGAAATTCTCATTTTAACAATGAAAAGTGGACAAAATAGGCTAACATTACTTAAAATCACCTGCTGTGATACATTTCAATTTTGAAAACTACCTAACACTTCATCATAATTCACTTCCCAGCTACTTACAGTTTCACTGTTTCTTATTGACAAGATTGAATTAATAAATACTTGTGTACTGAAATAGAAGAAATTACGGTTTTAAATGTCTTTCAAACATCGTGTTAGTTATGAGAGAAAATACACCATAAAGCACCAATTCTCTCTGGTCTGATTTTTTTTAATTAACCACTTAACAGTTTGGTCTGACTACTAATTCTAGGAATACATTGAACGAACATCTAGGACCAATTGAGTAGTGGCAAATACTATAATTTGCATAATGAAAACATTGCTTATTATGAGAGATAGTTGCAAATATCCTATTAAACATTCTTTTCCGCTTTCCATCCAGAAGATGGAAAATAGATTAATGTTGGCCAAGAATCTCAGCTCAGCAATATAGGTCACAACTAAAACTGTTTGAAAGTAGTGGGAATATGACAAGAGAGACAAAATAGCTATTGCTATAGGAAAGTTCAATGATAATTAGTGGTCATCAGTTATATAACAATTTAGTTAGTTTCAGCCAACATCCCCCCCCCAAAAAAAACCCTTTTTTTAATAATTTCAAGGCTGATAATTATTTTAATTAAGCCTAAATTTTTGTGGATTAGAATCCAGTTTATCAGATTATCGTACTTGTATTCTAGTCCACAAAAATCAAGCCATAAATGTATCATTATCTTTGAAGGAGATGGGTGGTTCAGACATGTGAAAAATAAATAAAATTGTCTATAAGATGTTACAAAACTGACAGTTGGTTTTAAACATTTCTAAGCTTCAGATTTAGTAAAAAAAAAAAAAAACACCTCCGTCTCCAATATTCAGAGAAGACAGAAAATCAAAGAAAAAGAAAGTGACACACTGAGAATAATATGCTTTCCAACTGCATTAATTCAGACAAAGAAGTGTTTACTTTCCTTAAGTACAAGCTGAATATTTTAATTACATTTTTTTCTAATCTATATGATTTTCAGGGAAACAATGATATACTAGCTTTCTTGTCGGGAATGCCAGTTACCAGGAACACAAAATATTTGGACCTGAAAAACTCAGTAAGTTATCAGATTGTTTATTGCAGAAAATATACAAACTCAGTGGATCAAAGGAATAGTTGTTCTGTCTTTCCCTGGATAAACTCTTGTTCTGATCTTAGACGTTAGAGATCTATTAGATAAGGTAGAGATCTATTAGTTCATAACAACATCCATGAATGTATTATGCCAAAGCAAACAACAGATGCTATTTGACAAATAAAGTACTGTCAAAGTATAGGTAAATCTAATTAATAAATAGAAATCAAACAAAACATAAATATAATTAATTAAAATAATAAATTAAAAAGAAAATAAAAACAAACAAAATACTCAAAGGGCAAACTTGATGGACCACTGAGAATTTTTTGCCATCAGTTTTCTGTGATTCTGTTTCCAGTTTCTTTTATGTATCAGAGAGTTATTGCTGTACCCTAATTGCACTTTGAAATTTCCTTCTAACGTTGGTTAGTTCTTTAAAAGAGGAGCAGTCAGCATAAATTGCCCGGTATTTAAATTTTATCATAATAATATGACTTAGGGACTGTGTAACTCTTGAAAGATTGAAATCTAACCTGGAGTAAATGCTCCATAGAAAGCTCCTACATAAAAACAAAGCTCCTGGAATACCAGGGAACTGCCAGAGTACTACAAAAGAGCTGATAAAGTTCCAATCTTCAAAAACGGGGGGAAATGTATCCAGAAAACCACAGACCAATCACCTGCACATCAATATCCGGGAAAATCCTCGAAAAGATAATCAAGCAGTGGATTTGCAAGCATCTAGAAATGAGCAAAGTGATTATTTGAAGCCAACATGGGTTTGTTAAAAACAGATCATGCTAGACAAACCTTACTGACTTCTTTGACAAAATGACTACATTATATTCAGGGTATAGTTTATCTAGACTTCAGGAAGGTATTTGAGAAAGTAGATCACAGCCTACTTGTTAATAAGATATAAAAATGTGGGACAGATAGCATCATCGCTAGATGGATTCGCAACTGGCTGATAATTGCACTCAGTGTGTAGTCCTCAATGAAACTACATCTACATGGAGGAAAGCATGCAGTGGGATACCTCTTTATAAATGATTTAGGTGAGGAGACAGAAGGAGACCTTATCAGATATGCAGACAACACCAAGCTGGGGGGAGTTGCCAAAACTTTAGAAGATAGACTCAAGTCAGAAGGATCTTGACAGACTTGAGCATTGGACCCTATCCAACAAGATGCAGTTCAGTGGTGAGAAAAGTAAGGCCTTGAATCTTGGCAGGAAAAATAAAATGCACAGGTTCAGAATAGGTGGTATCTGGCTCAACAGTAGTAACTGTGAGAGAGATCCATGTATCCTAGTGGACCACCACTTAAGTATGAGACAGCAGTGTGCTGCAGCTGCCAAAACAAGCACTGCAGACATAGGATGCATCAGCAGAGGGATAGCATCAAGATTACAAGAAGTGATAGTACTGATCTATACTGCACTAGTGAAGCCACACTTGGAATACTATGTCCAGTTCTGCTCATCACAATACAAAAAAGATCCTGAGGCCCTAGAAAGAGTGTAAAGAAAAGCAACAAAAGTGATAAAGGGTCTGGAGGGTGAACCGTATGATGAATGGTTAACATAACTAGGTCTGTCTAACTATTGAAAAGAAGGTCTAGGGGTGACATGATAGCTGCCTTCCAGTACTTGAACGGCTATCACAGAGAAGAGAGGGTTGACCTATTCTCCAAAGCACCTGAAGATATGGACAAGAAGTAAAAAGGCCCCAAAGAGTTTTGGCCTATGTGGGTTATTTTTATTTATATTTACTGTATTAGAATTTAAAATTGAGAAATTTTAAAATATTTATTTGATTTTTGGACTCCTTGAAAGGGTCTCAGGGCCCCTCTAGGGTCCCTGGGCCACATTTTGAGAATAGCTGGAATAGGTAAACCATTTTTGTAAGCAGTTATTTGTACAAATGCGTTATTTATAGTTATTTCTACAAATGAATCAACCACTGAAGTCTGTTTTCTTATAGCACTGTTTATACCTGGGTAATAGAACCATTTGAGATTTTCTGGGACTTTCGTGAGTCTTACACTATTAAATAAGTAATACTTTTGAATTAAAACTATAAACCTCAAATGTAGACATTTTTATTGCTTTAGTATACAAAAAAAAGATACATAAATAAAGAAAATTAAGAAAAAAAACACAATGCATATTTTGAAAACAGCTATATTTAAGCATTTCATGAAACTTTATGAAATGGTATCTCTTTAATAGTATCTCTTTAATGGTATCTCTTTCCATTATATCAACACAGAACTAGTTTATGATTAGTGAGCAAATGCACATTGTCAATCCAGGATTCTGTGTAAATCCTGTATAGCACTGTCATTTTATCATAAAAGAACATTATGTTCTGGTACACTCCACACTTCATAAATCAGTATCATATATTGATAAAATCAAAAAATTTTGTATGTAATTTCAACTCACTATGCACGTGTAAACTATACAGCACTCTTCTCAAAATCAACAAACAAACCCAAATTGGATAAGTGTGGCATGAATACATTTCATCTGCATAAGTGTCTCTTCCATTATTTTACACTTACAGCATAATGAAGTTGATAACCAACTCTTTTTAAAAGCTTTATGACGTATCTAATAAATATGGAAAAAGCTGTCATTGAATTAGTCCCATCTTAAGATCATGATATCTTAATATTTTTTAACCATTCATTTGTTAAAACAGGGTATTTCAACTTTTGATTCCAATTCTTACAAATTCTCTGTCTCTAAAAATATTTGGAATTATGCATGAGTTCATTTAACAATATTATAGCAGTAGGGGAAAGATCTTTGCCCAATCTAGTTTTGACTGCACTGCATCTTACTACTATTACTATTTAGGTTTTGTTTCCACTTCTAACTAATCAGAGGGCTTCATTTTGTCAAAATACATGAACTTTGTTTAGTTGTTCAAACAAGCCAGAATCAAGTTAAGGGCTAAGATCTTGGCTTGTTAGTAAACCACGTGTTACAAATCAGTTTTTTTAGCTAGGGTATAAAATAACAAGGTTCCCCAGCTGGTTTAAAAATGGAAGTCAAATTTTCTCATCCACTCAGCACCTATCCTAGAGAGTGCTAATCTCAGGCTTCTTCCATCAAACAGTGCCTGGAGGTAGCTATTTGGAGCTTAATTGAAAGATCAAACAAACTATGAAAACCTAATCAGAAATTATAATTTCTTGATAACTAAGTGAGAGGAAGTTATTTCTAATTATGGCATCATGCCATAATATTTCTTTTATTCCCTTCAGCAAGAGATGCTGCGATATAAAGAAGTATGCTATTATATGCTCTTTGCTTTGGCTGCTTATGGCTGGCCCATGTATTTGATGAGGAAGCCTACCTGTGGACTCTGTCGCTTGGCCAGATCCTGCTCGTAAGTATTGATCCAGATTGTTTTAAAAGTCTTTCACTTTATTATCTCATTTATTTTTTTCTTCCTCTGTCTCCTCATGCATTCTTCCTTTATTGAGGTGTATGTGTGTTTCTTGGATCATTCATTCATTCTTATTTATTATATATATATAGTTTCTCTCTCGAATACATCCTACTCCCACCACTGATCTATTTGGCAGGATATTGTTCCTATGCTAACCCTAACATTAGGTTTTCAAGTCATATGCCCTTGATAGCCCATCCTGCATGAATATATCTGATAAAGTCATTCAAATTAGTAACCATCATCACATGATTCAATGGTCAATTATGTATTAACTACTGGCAATTGTTTAGAAATTAATATAAATTGTATTTCATTTCTAATTTTACTCATTTTATTTTGGATCTTAGGTACATATCTGAGCAGAAAGGAGGACTATAAATTAACTTAATAAATATTCATAACATAGTATAAAATCTCTACATAAAATCCCTAAAAGGCCATTGTAAGCTATTAGTGTAAAATTTTGTTTTGCTATCTTCAGTAGAAATCCTTTGTCTCATTCTTTTTTTTTTAATACACATATGGGAAATCTTGACGTTTAGCTTAACTAATAGCTGAGATGAGCATTTATTTATTCATGTGTTCAACCTAGAAGTGTTGAAAGGATTAGAAGAATTTGCCGTTAAAGCTGACTTCTGGGATAATGAGAAAAGGATGACAATTTTGGACAGTTGCAGTCTAATAGTTTTAGAACTTTCTTATGAAACACTAAAGTGGAATTTTGTCTAAAAAGAAGTAGCATGGATTTTTTCTTTCCATATTATAATGATTTATGCTTTCTTTTAAAGTTGCTGTTGCCTCTCTGCTACTCGGCCCCGTTATGCACCTGGTGTCACCATTGAGGAAGATAATTGCTGTGGCTGCAATGCTATTGCCATTCGACGCCATTTTCTTGATGAAAACATGACTTCTGTGGACATTGTGTACACTTCATGTCATGATGCGGTAAGGGCTGCATGAGAAATAACTTGTGCTGGAGAAGACTGCTACAGTGTTTTGGAGAAATGTGCTAAGGCAGGAATAGGAAAGCAGCTTTCAACCACTTTATGTAAGAGATCATTTCACAGACCTGATAAGCATTGTTGATTGCTTTTCTGTGTTTACTGTCTTGGAGAGAAAAAACAGGTGTCAAAAAGTGAAAAAACAATCTTGAAAAAATTGGTATCAGACAATCTTAAGTAGTCCCGTGGCTTTGGCTCTAGCCCTACCATCATTTCTTTCAGTTCTACATTCCCTCCCATGTCATCCCCAATAGATACCATCATTGTAAGAATATGTGTTTGACAATAAAGAGACTTTTCCACATGTGGCAAAATAATGGAGCTGAAACATCAGAATTCTCTTATCAGACGTGAAATTATAAATTCCTGATGGAATTAGTTCAAAACTGTTGCTTCTCTACCAGGAGTTGATTAGGAAAGAAAATGCATGGCATTTAGGTAAGACGAAATAGAAATAACAAGTTTGGTGTAGTGCTTAAGGCACTGGGCTAGAAAATGGGACACCATGAGTTCTAGTTCTACCTTAGAAACAAAGATAGCTAGATAACCTTGGGTGAGGAAGAAGGCAATGGCAAATCACTTCCAAAACCTTGCCAAGAAAGCTGCAGGAAGTTGTCCAAGGAGTCAGCACTAACTTAAAGGCACCACTACAAACACTAAATATTGTAGTATACTTTATTACTTTTAGGTTTATGAAACCCCCTTCTACGTGGCTGTAGATCACGAAAAGAAGAAAGTAGTTATCAGTATTCGAGGAACTTTATCACCAAAGGTAATTTTTAAATTCCTGTTTACTTCAGTCTCTATGTGCTGCTTCATGCTCTGATCCTAGAAATCTGCTAATGTGCAAATGCATTAATAAGATTTGTAACAATGTCTAAGCCTCATATTTCATGGAGTCTTTTTTCCTCACCCCAAAGGATGCTTTGACTGATTTAACTGGAGATGCTGAGCGCCTCCCTGTGGAGGGTCATCACGGAACATGGCTTGGACACAAGGTATTTATAGAGTGCTTTTGATTTTAATTGGTTAATGTATACACCATAATTTCAAATCATTCCTTTAAAATTTCTCTTGGAATATATAATTTAAGATTATTTTTAACCCTTGTATGAAAGCCACAGCATGCAATCTGTTGTACTGAAAAAGGTATAAAAAGCTGTTGAAAGTTACTTTCATTCAAATTGGTGTCCTCCCCAAAAACAACTGGCAGTTAAAGAAACAGAACCTAGTGATAATCCCACAAAGCTGATGGAATATGAAATGCAATTCTGTGACAGAAGATAATTTTAAAGTTCCAAGGAGTGCAGAATATTTTATTATATATTGATATTTTATTATATATTGATAATTAGAAATATCTTTATTACTTTGGATTATGGAAAATGAACATGCCAATCATTGTTTCATTTGTTTTGTTTTAATATACTGTATTTTGAAATACATAATAATAGTTGAATTTAGTGAATCTATATATCTAACGAATATGGTAAGAACAGAATTTAGAGCCGCAGTGGCGCAGTGGTTAGAATGCAGTACTGCAGGCTACTTGGGCTGCCTGCCGGCTGCCTACTATTTGGCAGTTCGAATCTCACCAGGCTCAAGGTTGACTCAGCCTTCCATCCCTCCAAGGTTGGTAAAATGAGGACCCAGATTGTTGGAGGCTGACTGTAAACCACTTAGAGAGGACTGTAAAGCACTGGGAAGTGGTATATAAGTCTAAGTTCTATTGCTATTGCTATAAAAGCATTTATGACACCAGGATGCCAAATATGTCACTGTACATCATCTGAAGATGCACCTGCATGCAAACCTACCTATCCATTACTCTGTTTGCTTTTGGAGAAAGCCTTATTGCATTAAAAGTAACAAAAACTAAGCCAAAAATTATAAAAGCCTGAGGTAAGAAAAGCAAACATATGTACAACTAGTTTACAAATGATAAAATGTTTGACAGTATTATGGTGCAAGTGTAAGTAGGAACTGCTTTCTTTTTCTGGATGATTTGTGATGGCTCAGCAAGAACTTTTTACTCCCAATAAAGTTTTTCCCTATCTTGAATGACAGTGCTGAAAGCAAGGAGAGGGATTCCAAAAATGGATTTTGAGTAGAAGGGCTTTGAGTTTCATTACGTTCAAATATTTTAACATCATTCAGATATTTTTTTTAAAAAGAAATCCAGGAATCTGCAGATGCCAGTAGGTTACCAGTACCCATAACCAGGTTCTTTTTAAAAAATAATACAGATTTTGCAGATCTGCTGACCTCTGCTCCATAGTCAGTAAATCTGAAAGGATTATGTATAAGCAATTACAAAGCACCATTTCAAGTGACATCTGCTGAATGCACTCTCACAAATCTTAAATTACTTTTTCCATCTTTGGAATTTGACATTCTTATGCCAACCAGTACATTCCTATGTCTTGATAATTGATTCCATCTGCTAAGTGTATTCTATTATAGCTTTCTCCAACCCTTCTTATCCTGTGGAAGGCCTTGCTATCACCATATAAATCCTTTTGAAGGATACAGAATGGATTTATATTTTTAAAAATGAGTTACCATTCTATAGATGCAAAAAGTAACATTCACCACCTGAATTATAACAGGTGTCAATTCATATATCAGAGTACAGCCATTCTTTCTGATTCTTGCCATTATTAGCAGACAGCTTTCAAGTCAACTACCTGACTTCCCAGTTTTAAATACCATTCCTAATATTCCTAAATTACACTGAGAATAAATTACTCAATATATTTTATTTATTTATTTATTAAATGTGTTTGCTGCCCATCTCTCTGCGAGGCAAGTCTGGGCAGCCATACAGCATCAAAATGAAACCATAAAGATATATATACCACTGTATAAAATCACAATGAAATACAGATTATAACTAAAACTAAAAGATGGGAAGGAAAGGAGCATGAAGAAGATGGGAGCTGCTATTAGCTGATCAACCACCACCAAGCCAACCACAGAGCCAGGTCTTCAGGGACTTATAGAAGGTCAAGAGGGAGGGAGCCAATCTCGGGACCCTGCCAACCAGAATTCCTTGACTGACGAGATCTGCAGCATGCTCCTCTATCGGCACGGGTGCGGTGGGCCTGTCCCATAGGGCTGAGACAATTTTGATTAGCACTCAGAAATTTCAAAAGGTCATGAATGCAATGGTCCAAGTATTGGTCTCTACATGTTGTACGCATCTTCCAGATCTGTTTTAGTTGTTAACAAATTTCTGGGTACAATAATCAATAGCACTGATTTAAATTGACAAAAGCCTTTTATGACTTAACATTATGGCCTTACCAGCCATAGTCTGTTGAACCAATATATTCATGCCAAGAGATGTATTGTGTCCCACTTTCATGAAGTGAAAGCACTGAGGCCTTTTTATCTAGGAAATGTAGATGCCCATATTGTGCGTAATAATCCTAACTGGTTTACAATAATATTTCATATAAACAAAATAAACGTAACCAATAAACCTTACAACAAAATCATATCCCATCACATTTCCACATCTCACTGATTGTACATTTACATTTGCTGGGTTCACTTTCACCCTAGGCCAATACTGGTGTTGTTGTTTTTTTTACCAGCATCTTAGACCTGTGGAGCTGCTTCTCATTAGTTGAACTGGCCCCAGATATAATTAGAACGATTATTAGGATTAGGATTTTTTTCTGATTATTCAGATAGTTTACTGAAAGTAGCTGTTTTAATTTAGCTTGTAACATTACCAGAATTGTGTTTGAATATCTTAAATTACTGCAATTCTTACTGTGAATATTTTTATTGATACACAACTATAGATTTTTAATTCTTCTAAATCAGGGGTGTCAAGCTCAAGGCCCGCAGGCCAGGTGCAGCCTGCAGGGTACTTAAATCTGGCCAATGGGACCGGCCTAGAAATAGCAAAGGACCAGCTTGCAGTGTCTCTGGCAGCCAAAACAGGGTGCCCCCCATTTTGGCTGGCAGGATGCTGCATGAGGTGTCCATCCTGTCTCCCTCCCCTGGCCAGCCCACGATGGAGAACAATGCTGATCAGCCCTCAAAGAAACCCAGTTTTATATCCCTGTTCTAGATTGTTGTAAACTCTCTGGAGTCCCTGACAGACTCAGTAGCATACTATACAACAGTGGTGAAATCCTCCGAGGTTTGCCACCAGTTTATTGTGTGAGCATTCGTGGCGCGTGCCAAATGCATGCTGTGCATGTGTGCACGCACAATGCACACCAAACACGTGCTTCGTGTGCATGCGCACCACAGGTGCTACCACGCAACATGGAAAAAGAAGGCTTAAGAAGGTAAGTAGAACAGTGAGGGGGAGGAACAGCTGTGCCGCGCGATTTAGATTTCCTGCTTTCTAGCGAATATAAATCATGCGGCACAGCTGATTGTCGGAAATACGGGTTCAGGTGAACCGGTAGCATGTTTTTACTACCGGTTTACCTGAACCGGTAGCCTTTATTACTAATGGTTCACCCAAACCGGTGCGAACCAGTAGCATTTCACCCCTGCTATACAAGCATAATGTAATAAACTGTAATAAATATTTCAGCGCAGCATTGTACCATATAGATAGGTGTCAGAAAGGGTTAGGATCAGTGGTGAAATCCGAACTGGTTTGCTACCAGTTCACTGGCCACGAATGCACAGTGCGCACCAAACATGTACTGCATGTGCATGCATAGTGTACACCAAACATGTGCACATGTGCATTATGCGCCAAAAGGAGGCTTGGGAAAGTAAGTAGAAGTGTGGGGGATCAGGTGTGGTGCGTGATTTAGCTTCACTGGAAAGCAGGATTTCCTGCTTTCTAGCAAAGCTAAACCCCATTGCACAGCTGATCGTCGGAAATACCAGTTCGGAGGAACAAGTCGCTTTTTATAAACTACTGGTTTGCCCAAACCAGTAGCTTTTTTTTTTACTACAGGTTCAGCCAAACCGGTAGTTTTTATCACTACAGATTTGCCCAAATCTGAGTGAACTGGTAACATCTCACCCCTGGTTAGGATGAGGCAGAGTGCTTCTCCATCTGGGTATAGGAGTTTGTCTCTAAGTTGCTCTGCTTACCGACAGAAAATGCTTTAGCTATAGTTCTGCCCGTGATGTCTTATTTTTCATTTATTTAAACACAAATGTATTATCTGTCATACTATGCTTCACCTGGCAGAGTGCAGTACTGAACAAATGTTATACCATAAAAGTAGAATAATTAAAAAAGAATGTAAATTAAAATGTAGAAAACATGAACACAGTGGCAATGAGTGACAAAATTGTGACAGCCTAGGACAGGGGTCTGCAACCTTAAGCACTCAAAGAGCCATTTGGACCTGTTTCCCACAGAAAAGAAAACACCGGGAGCCACAAAACCCTTCCCATGCCTGACTATTTCTTGAGCGGCCATAAAACTAGCTTATGTAGTTGAATTAAATGTTCTGTTTTCTTCTGAAACTTTTCTTTTCTTGGATTTAACCATGGTTGGCCTACTGGAGGTTGAAAAGCTCAATAAATTGTGTGCTGGCAGGTGTCACACTTTGGCGGTTGTGACACATATTTTGAGTGACAGGGAGCCACAGCAGAGGGGTGAAAGAGCCACATGTGGCTCCAGAGCCGCAGGTTGCTGACCCATGGCCTAGGATTTGGGTTGGAACTGAAACTATTTAATCAAAGTCTCTCTGTTTCCTTTAGAGATCTCCCAGGTTCTTTTTCCATTGATTCAAACTATAGGGAAGTCCAAGAAATCTGATTTCCTTTACTCAAACTAATATGAGCTACTAAGCTTTAGAAATGGTGCTCAATGTAACATGTCTCTTTGATCCCTTATCAACATTGGATTTCCCATTTTACTGAAGAAGGAAAGAGTCACATTGCCTCGGTCACTTGAATTAATGCCTAATTTTTAAAATGCTGATGCCTTGCTCAACTTCGTTAAACCTCACATTTTATGTTTTCTTTGTTGTTTCTTTTTAGGGGATGGTGCTATCTGCTGAGTATATAAAAAAGAAACTGGAGCAGGAAATGGTGTTGTCTCAGGCTTTTGGGCGTGATTTAGTAAGTTTTTGTTTTACTGTAATATGTTCATAAAGTGAAGTCATACCTCCATGTTTTGCTATTAACTATTGAGCACTATGTACAAAGTATTTGAAATACTGCTACAATTTAAAAACATCCAGCATTTTCCACTACTCTAAAAAACAATTCCTTGAAAGAATTTTTTAAATATTTAAAAATTCATTTAAAAACTATTTATAATTTTTAAAATATTGCTGACAATAAACATTGCTGTGTTAATTAAACATACTTTTTCAAATTAATTAATTGAAACCACTAAAATTTGATGAAAAGGTCCCCTATTACAAATGCTAAAAATAAAGTAAAATGTATTAATCACTTATTAAAATGTGAGTAAGAAGCCTTCACAAGAATCCATCTCCCAAACAATGTGATTTCTCATTCATGCTAACTATGCTGTTTAGAATACGAGAAAGTGATCGATTGCCTGCAGATGGCTTTTGTGCAACCCTGAACAGTCCTTTTTCATTTGCCATTAGAAAACATTTGCCACTAAAATTCAAAAATATCATTTGAAAACAAGTTTTCCCCCTATAAAGCTGAGTAATAGTTATTGAAAAGATCATTTTAATTCAGAGTAATGATTAAATTTATTTAAATTTAATTGAATTTAAAAGATTTAATTCAGAAGATTTGAAATCAATGTATTTTAAAGAAAAAATATGAGCAATTGTAGCAAATTTACAATTGTAGCAATTGTATCAAATTGTAGCAAATCTGTAGAAGACTATGGATTATGTTTGCTAAGATTAAGAGGTCTTATTTGTGAATGTTTGGAAGTTTCTCATTGGCTATTGCAAGAAGCTATGCATTTGTTTTATTTGGTTTTCTATTTAATTTAAAAAATACCAGTCTGAGTGCCACTTTTTTTCTTTTGTTCCCCACCTTTTCATTCTTTAAATGTTACATTGCAATTTGTTACTATCAGAATGGTATATTTAATGTTTTAAGAAAAATGCTTGTTTCAATGCAAATTAAAACATACATTTTACACTGTGGTTTGAGAGAAATAGTTTAAAAAGATATGGCAGATAACTGCATAAATACATGGAAATGCCTTAATCCTTCAAATATTTAAAACACTTTTGTTTTGTAGGGCAGAGGAACAAAACATTATGGCCTAATTGTAGTCGGCCATTCCTTAGGAGCAGGCACAGCAGCCATTTTGTCCTTTCTACTACGTCCACAGTATCCAACTCTAAAGTGCTTTGCTTATTCTCCACCAGGTGGGCTTTTAAGGTAGGTATCTCCAGTATATTTAGAAAATAATACGGAGCTCTAACGTATGAGCCAGCAATGAGCTGCAGCTGCCAAAAAAGGCAATGCATTCCTAGGATGCATCAGCAGAGGGATAGCATCAAGATCACAAGAAGTGATAGTACCTCTGAGATCTCATCAAACTTTGGCAAAATAGTTTCAAGCTTTTATTTACAGTTTTAAGGATAGATACTGACTTTTTAAACTCCCCTGTTAGGAGGAGGATTTTTTGCTACAAGTCAATTACTTCATTAGGTACTATCATACCCTCAATGATCCTGATCCAGCAACCTGTCTCTGGTGATAATTCCCCGCTCTTGCAAAGTCATTCTAGCATACCGGTGTCAAACTCGATCGTGTCGCGTAATGTCACATGATGCATTACGTTTCTTGCCTTTGTGGAGCTGGGGTGGGTGTGGCCTGCTCATGATGCATTCTTTTCTCAGTTAGATGAGCCCAGATGGGTTTGTTGCTGGTTTCCTTGGCTGCCAATTTGTCAATGTCTTTGTGGATTGTTTGGTCCTATAGTTTAACATTTTATTAACCACCCAGAATTAAATTTGAGAGATGCATAGCCATATAAATTGCTTAAAAAAAAAACAAATGTTCTTAAGTAGTTAGCAAAACTGCACTCAGAGGAGATGGCCCATACTATACAATTTAAATCTATGTCAGGCAGCCTTTCAGTGATCCAGCAACTGTAGATTTAGCTTCAATTACTTGTGATCAGTCTTTGTTGTGATATGCTAATTTTCCAACTACTGACCTTGCTTACATTTCAGATTCTCTCTTTTGACTCTGTGTGTCCAACAGTAATTTATAACCTGAATATAAGCCAGAGTATCATTATCACCTTAACACAACAAGTCAGTCATTCTTTTTTCCATGACCATTGATGGATTCTTTTTGCTGTCCAGAGATCCATACTAATGATCTCCAGAGCCATCATTCAGATATGTTCTTACTCTTTCAATGCTTTAAGTATTCTATTTAGATGGGGGGGAATAACCAAAATAGAATTATTCTTGATTTTGTTTTAAGTTTATCCATATCTTCTTCCATAAGAGTAATCTTTTCTTTATTTTCTTTACAAATCAACTTTATTTTTGAGCCCAAGAAAAATAAAATTACAAATGTTTACTGTGAATTCTTGTTTGCATTACATTTGTCTTCTTAATATTTGACATTATCCCTTATTTTTCTTTTTCCATTTTTACTTTCATAATTAGGTCTTTCATCCTAACATATTAATGTTTCATCCTCCAATTTTGAATTCATCTGTCATCTCTTCCAGACCTGCCGTTTGTATATTTGCTATACAAATTAAATAGTATGGGAACACAATAAAACCTTATTTTCCTTCATTCTGAAACACTATTTCTCCAAATTGTGTGGTTGCAATCATTTTTTATTCTTTAGAAATATTCCTCAGAAGAATAATCAGGTGTTCTGGCATTCAGGATATTCTTAGTACAACTCACAATTTGGCATAATGTAATCAATGAAGCAAAATAAACATCTTTCATTTATTTTCTTGCTCTGCCCCTTATTTTTTTTATGTTAGCTGTTGAACTTATATCCCTATCTTTTTTAAAATCTTCCTATTCTTTTGGTATTTCTCTTTGTATACGTGGCATGATTCTTCTCTGTAAGTTCTTAAGCAAAACTTTGCTTGTGTGAAGAATTAGTTCTGAGGATTTGGTAATATGTTGATCTTCTTCCATTTCCCTTTTTTGGTGTACATTGATCTTCTCCAATCTCCATTGTTTCACATTTATTATCATAGAGATGTTAGCACTTTAATTGCTTCCTCTGCAATATTAAAACAGTTCATCTGGTGTTTCAACTAAGTCTTGGTACTTTCCTATTTATCAGCCAGTCTAATGCTTTTGGTAGTTAATTTTTTTAATGGATTTGGTTCCTGAATATACAGTATATTCTCCCTCTACAAATCTTCTGTTATACTAAAATCCTATGTGTAAAGTATTTCAACATTGAATTTCCATTTTCTTGTAACCTCCTATGTTTCTATTATGTCTCTTTTGTGATATCTATTAGGTATTCCTATCTTAGTGTACATTTCTGTGTACTGGTAAACAGTTGATCTACTGGGATTCCTAGGAATAAATTTTATCTATAACATTAATTATCCGCAAATTGCTTTTCTCTTGATATAGAAATACATTATCAATAATACAAACCTGGAGCATTTTTGTTGTTATCATTATTATTATTATTAATTTAATCTTCAATTTGATTCGCGGTCTGGGACTGGTAAAAACTAAACAGTTCAAATTCTACCAAGGACCTAAATGCTGTTAGAGTATCATCTGAGTATATGGGCAGTTTTGAGTAAGGTGTTTTTTTCAGAATATTCAGGTCTAATAAATAAATTTCCATGTATCTAGGCAGCCCTTTGGGTATTATTCCAAGGGCTCCTATTGCTATTAGTACAACCATTGATTTCTTCCTCCACAATTGTTCAATTTCAATTTGCAAATCATAGTATTTTGGTATTTTTTCTAGCTGTTTCTCTTCAATTCATGCATCACCTGGTAGTGCAATATCAATGAACCAGACTTTTCCCGCCCCACAATAGTGATGTCACACATATTGTGGGCCAGATATCTGCCTATTTGGATCTTAACCTGTTCATTTTCAATAACTTTGTCAACTTGGTGTTTCCAGTGATTTTTACTGCATTCAAATCCAAACTTTTGGCAAGCTTCCAATGTAGTATTATTATTATTAGTAGTAGTAATAGTAGTAGTAGTAGTAGTAATAGTAGTAGTAGTAACAGTAGCCAGGAGACCAGAATGTTATTACAGAGTAGTAATTTGGCTGTCAGTTTACCAGCTCTGTTGTAGGATATGCTCATGTGCTTCTCAAGGTGCACCTCTGGAGGGCAAGCTGGTTTAGCACCAGAAAGAAAAAGCTGCTTTTCCTGCAGCAGCATCCTAGGTTCCCTCCTGTCCCTGGAACCGCCTCATAAATGGATGCCTCAACCGCAACTGTTAGCTGTACAGAAGCTGAGGCGAGTGATGAAAACTTATCCCACTACACAGTGCTAGGACTCAAACCACTGAAGCAGAGACCATCTCCAACATCTCAGCTAAGCCACTGAGCCACCATGCCTCTTGATCTGGAACATTGATTTCTTACTTGTTATACTTACTTTTTTTTCTTACATAGTTAAATATTGGCATCATTTTCTTATATCCTTTTCTTACAGTGAGGATGCTATGGAGTACTCCAAAGAATTTGTGACAGCAGTTGTGCTAGGCAAAGACCTTGTTCCCAGGCAAGTCAGTTAATTTGGAATTCTTTATTTCATTTTTCTTGTATTTATAACTAAGCTATAATGCCTTGTCTCAATTCCAATTAATATCAGTTTCATTTTACCACTTAACAACCGTTCTTATACTTCTTCCTTGACATTTTTTTCCAGCTATCTACCCTATTTTACTGTATCTTTTCCATAAACACATACTGTACTTTAATGTACCACATACATTGACATAAGCCTCCTAACCTCTCAGCTGCCTCTATTACTGAAAAAGGTGAAATATGCACAAATATGTACCACCTCCTTAGTTACTTATGCTGTCATTGATACATTTGTACTTTCTCCCAGGTCACTTCTCCTGAGCCATCTTACATCTGTGAATTATCTCCTGGCTATATCTTCCGTGCCATCTCCCATCTATGCACTTTATCTTGATCTCTGAGTGTTGTCATCTTCCTTCTGTCTAGCATCTTTGTATTATGTGAGCTGTGTCATCTTATAGTTGTGTACAATTTACTGTTTTATGTATATTATCATTCCTTGCTTACCTGAATGTTATTTCATTTCAGATGAGTGCACTGTTTCTTGCTAATTTTTTAGTTTCTTTGTCATTATAGCTAGAACACAGTTATGAATCTTTGCACAGTATTTTTTTTAGGTCACAGAAACAATCATTCTCAAGTAGTTATATTAGGAATGTTGACAGCTAAAGACAATGAATGATGGTGAGCAAATAACTTCACTATAATGGAAGTTGTAGTGAAGTCAAGATGTGCAAAGTGAAAATTGTAAGCAAATCCTCCCAGCAAAAAATTGGCAAAAACCAATTTGCTATTTTTGACTCCTACAAAAAATCCAGGATATTGGAAAGAAGGAATGGCTACAGAAAAGAAGATTAAACTGACTATCAGTAATAATCACATTTAACGTTTTCCCAATAGAGGCAGAAATATTAATACCTATCACTGATTTGTGTAACACCTGAAATCTGTGAATGAAAAATACTGATGCATATGTTCATAATCTCATAAAGGAAATCTGTTTATATCTTCTAGTATGAATAGTGATCTGTTTAATTTTCTTGCTTAGTTCACCTGTAATGTGAGCTCTAAAATGTCACTCATGCCCTAGATTGCATAGTAATTCTTTCTGCATATATTTGGTCAACTGTATGTTTTAGATTCCTACTATTAGAATAGTAAGCAAGTGTTATTTGCTAAGCCCTTGAACTCTTGTTTGGTTATTAGTAGCGTACAGTATCTAAATATACTGTATTTATTATCTAAATCTTACGGATAATGGATGAAATCCAGGGTGTTTATATACTTTGTCCTTATATCATGGGTAAGTTATAGCTGATTAAATCTCTCTTTGCTTTTCTATTTATGATTCTCATAATAGTTAAATCTGCATCATTGCATCTGATACTCTTTATCATTCAGGATTGGCCTCTCACAGTTGGAAGGATTTCGCCGGCAACTTCTTGATGTTTTACAGAGAAGTAATAAACCAAAGGTAAAAAAAATTCAAATCTATCTGAAATGAAAGTAATTGTTATAAATCTGTTTTGTTTTGTTTTTTGTTAGTTTGTTTTTGTTTAGGATTTATGCCAGTTGTAGTTGTCTTCTAATTGTCAGGCCCAAGCAACCAAAGCTACTCATAAATGGCAAGGAACTTTATTGTTCTCTACCTAAATTACAAGAATCTCCCCAGACTCACTTGCCTTTCCCTGGAAACAACCCGATAAGGCTTTGCTTGTCTTGGGGGTAGACAAGTTTATGCCTTTTGTGGCTGTGCGAAAGCTAAGCCCCTGCTTGACTTCCAGCCTAGCTGGCAGTTTCCTAACAGTGATATATGGTTTTGATGTTGGCTGTTAAGAGACTCCCACACTTTGGATATGGTACATATCCAGCTGTAGAATTGTAATCCATAAATTATTTTCATGTTAAATTATTGGGCTATTTTTAAAAATACAGAGTTGATACTGCTTTCATTTTTTATTTATTTATTCATTCATTTATTAAATTTATAGGCTGCCCAGGTCTTTCACAAGTGTAAGAAGTTTGACAATTTAAAACTGTGCAACACTGCATACTCCTGTAGCGTAGTCTGTCATTTTTCTAAAGAGGTTTATGTGTAATTCCAAGTAAGAAGTATGAAGTGTCCTAGCAGCTGTAACCATGTGCAAAGCCAACTTTATATACTTTACAGGAAATATGAGGCTTAGTAATACCTAATTACTTAATAAGTACAGTTACTTAACTTAATTAACAGGAAACAGCTGAAAAAGAAAAAAATGATATTTAAAATGTTTTCATTCTATGAATTATTGTATTTCTTGCAGGTTTTTTAGTATGAATTATTTATTTTGACAATCAACAAAGATTGTATCAATTTTCTATAAACATGTACAGTACATTTCACATTTATTTTCCATTGAATTCCTATTGTTGGTTTTCTAGTTTTAAAATACTTTTAAGTATTTGGAATATTTAACTGGACCCATTCTCAAACTGACACATTATTTAAAGATGTATTCCTAGCATAGCACTTCAGTTTTATTAATACATCATTGAGGGAAGATAGTTTACCATTAAACCTACTTAAGTGTCAGGATGATTTTTAAAGATTCCTTTTAAGGAATATATATACATATCTTAGCACATAGTTGTGCTATGTATATATGTATTTATTAGATGTATATCCTGTTTTTTTCTCCAGAAGTTCACAAGAGTCTATATAACACCCCATCTTCCAGTATTTTTCACAACAACCCTGAGGTTTCATTGGACAGAGACAAAGTGACTGGCCCAAAATTATCTAATGACTTCTGTGATTAAGGGTGGACTTGAACCTGGGTCTCTTTAATCCTTATCCATTACTTTAACTACCATAGCACAGTTTCTCTGGCATAAATCAATAAATATAGATGCAAAAGTAACAAAATATATGAATGACACAAAATGTGGTTTCAGCTGTAGTATACTGTATTGATGGATTTCTGCTATTATATTGATTAACATATTATAGTTGAAGAAGGCACACAATATTAAGTCTAAGTGGACAAAAATGTTCAGTCTGTCAAGCTGAGATACTGTGGCTTCTGATACACACACACACACACACACACACACACACACACACACACACACAAACTTTCAAGATTAAAACCATGAGAAAAGGTATGACTCCTGTTTTCTTTCATATGCTAGCTTTTAATAGTGTCCAGTTCACATTCCTTCATTCCTTTTTTTCCCCTTGGATAGTGGAGAATCATAGTTGGTGCAACCAAATGCATACCCAAGTCTGAGCTCCCTGAAGAGCCTGAAGGGAACTCAATAACCAGTAACCGCCTCTGGACTCATCCTAGTGACTTAACTATTGCCCTGTCAGCCAGCACACCTCTCTACCCTCCTGGGCACATCATCCATGTGGTTCATAATCATCCTGTTGAACAGTGCTGGTAAGTGGAAGAATAATGACTAGCAAAGATGAAATATATAGGTCTGTTTTTTCAAAATATCTCTTAGAACTTTTAATATTGGTGATGCTTACTACGCTGTATATATTTTCATAATTACTTCCCAGGGAATTGTGGTTCTGTTTTACATGTTCTACACACAGAGAAAAATTAAATAATTATCTTTCCTCTTCTCCCACTCCAAATGTAACCCAAAAATGTAAAGCTGGATAAAGATAACACCCATCCAAATTGTTTGCAAGTAATGTTGCTGGTCATTTTAATTAACCAAAAATTAAAAGTCCTGAAACAAAGGCAATTCACTGTCTATTCACAATACAAAGCAGCTCTGCTTTATTAGTTGAAAGATAAGCTACAAAGTTGAATTTCTGAATCAGATTAATTATAGTTCAGCTAAGAAGTACAATATGGACATGTTCCTGATGCTTTTTCATTAGTTTTTTAGCTTTGCAATACAGTTATGCTTAATATCTACTGACAATCATGTGTCTAAGGAAATATATTGTATAATATTGGTATATACTTATACAATAAAATGCAGTGTTATGCAATGAAATAGTTTATTAATCATCCTGATTCTTGAATTAAAAAGTTATGTAAGGAAAACGCTGCAGTTGCAAGGCAGAGGATTTGAATGAATTCTTGTGTTTATTTTGCTTATATCACACAGTAGCCTCAGAAAGAGGTAAAGTAATTAGAAGTGATGGTTAATGACTGCCTCATCTGATATCTTTTACAGCTGCTGTGATCAGGAAGAACCTACATACTTTGCCATTTGGGGAGACAACAAGGCATTTAATGAAGTGATAATTTCTCCAGCAATGCTACATGAACATCTGCCATATGTAGTAATGGAGGGTCTTAACAAGGTAATAATCATTCAATGATTTTGGGATTGAATGATGAGTAAACAATTAGACCCATTATGCTGAGTGTCTTGATGAGGAGAACTAATATAGATTCTATGATTTACAGATATAGAAAGAGTACAACATAATGTAACAAAGTTTTCATGAATGCATCTACATTTATATAAAACAGACACATGTACCCCGTTTCCCCCAAAATAAGACATCCCCTGATAATAAGCCCAATCAGGCTTTTGAGCACATGGCAATAAGGCCAAGCGCTTATTTCAGGGTTCAAAGAAATATAAGACAAGGTCTTATTTTCAGGGAAACACGGTACACAATGCATTGATGATGTTTGGGTAATAAAATGTCTGAAAGAAAACAAGCTCAGAGAGCACCAGGGACTTGGTCATATACATAAACCGGTTCAGTTTAGCTCATGTTCTGAGAAATGCAAATGCATTACTTTTATAAAACCAGACCAAGATAAAGTGATCTGTGCTTACATTTACTTACTTACATCTGCCATAATATCTTGCTGAAAATTACTTTGGAATGCCATTGTTTACTGTAATTAGCAAGGAGACCAGATGAAGGGAGAGCAATTGTCATTTGAGCAACAAGTTGAATGTCTGTTGATTATATTGAGCTGATACTTGCCCAGAGTATAATAGGTTTTTTTATCCATCTTGCCATTGGTAAGAACTTAATTATACTACAAATCACATGATCTGTTATAGGCTACTTTAAAGTGATCTACATTTGTCTTAGCATTTGTTTAACACTACTCAACAGTAGAGGATAGATTAGAAATGAAAGTACAGCAAAGTTATTATTCACTAATTTACTTTACATAGGTCCTAGAAAATTACAACAAGGGCAAAACAGCTTTGCTTTCTGCAGCCAAAGTGATGGTGAGTCCTACAGAAGTGGACCTCAACCCGGAATTAATCTTCCTGAATCAACCCCTGCCTAGTAGACCTTCTGTACAGATTGGAATTGGAGACATAACAGTGGACAGAAGGAACAGCAGTACTAAGTAAGGATATGGCTCTGATTTTCTAGAAGGGCTTACGAGGGCTGCTGGTGATCTTATTCCTTCCTGCTATCCTGTTGGTGAATATCATAATTTCATAAAGAGTCATGCCTTCTGTATGCACTTCTGTAGCTTGTTCCAGGAAATTATAGTCTAGTCTTATCTTAGTCTCATATAATTTGTATTCTCCTTTTGCAGGAGTAAGGCTCACTCTGAAATCAGTTTGGAAGGGTTTTATGAAACCAAGCTTCTGTCACCAGTGCAGAAGGATCCTGTGGAGATCCTGCTACTAGATACCAAGGAACGCCTGTCTGTAGAACTGCAGGACCGGCGTGCTCCTCTTGCTACAATGGAGAGCCTATCTGATAATGAATCCATCTATAGCTTTGATTCAAGGCGTTCCTCTGGTTTTCGTAGCATCCGTGGCTCACCCAGTCTCCATGCAGTCATGGAAAAAGATGAAACTCATTGTTTTTATATTGATCCAGCAATTCCTGAGGAGAACCCCTCTCTTAGCTCACGGACAGAACTGCTTGCTGCTGACAGCCTCTCCAAACACTCCCAGGAGACTCAACCTCCTGAGGGCCTGCAAAACAGTGGAGACACCACTCCTCAGCGGCGATGCAGCGATGAAGGCGCTGGTAGTGATACCGATCATATTTCCTTTACTCCAGAAGAATTGACTCTCCAAAATGGGAGGCTAAGTGATGCCCCCAGCCCACAAGTGTTGGAGTTTGCGGAGTTTATAGATAGTCTCTTTAACCTGGACAGCAAAAGCAGTTCCTTTCAGGACATTTACTGCATGATGGTATCGGACAGCACCAGTGATTTTGCTGAGATTCCCAAGTCAGTCAGTGACCAGGAGATCTTGTTAAGAGCACAGTATGAACCCAACTTAGTCCCAAAGCCCCCCAGGTTATTTGCAGGCTCAACAGATCCTTCCTCAGGCATATCTGTTTCCCCTTCTTTCCCTCTGAGTTCTTCTGGAGAGCTTATGGACCTCACTCCTACAGGCATGAGTAGCCAGGAATGCCTCACCACTAACAAAATCCGGACTTCCACTCCCACTGGAAATATGACCAGTCCTGCCAAACAAGAAGACCTTGTGATCTCAGCCCTCTAATATAGGAGAGAAGGTGCAGAATACCTAATCCTATAATAGTGAATCTTGGGACAGCACTTGGAGGAGCTGGTCTCTTGGCAAGTGAGAATGGGTGAAAATGCATGGGGAAGTATTGTTTCCCTTCCTGGGTGCTACACTAATGGCACTACAAAGGATTTCAGCATGAAGGATGTCACATCATGGGTCATGTTCTTTAGTTAGGGAGAAAATCACTGCCTAATGCAGCTTGCTGCTTTTCAGGGTCTCGTTCACTGAAGTTAGATGATTGGTTTCCCTACCTCAGCATATTTCTTTAACAAGAAGGCAGACTCATTGCCTTTCCTGCTGAAATTATGAACTACTGTCCATGGGCTAGATGATTAGAGTAACTGAGGTCTGATAATGCCCAATTGTCATGTCAAAATCAAGGAAATTGTGACATTGGGCTTTATTGCACTAGTGTGTCATGTTTGATCCAAGTACCTGTTTATTGTTGTCATCATGATTTTTTTTATGACATGCTCTCCTGTTTTATAGCCATTGACTGTGTTCCAGAGGAATGCAGCCTCCCACTCTAAACCCTAACTGGGTGCAGTGAGAATTGGGATGGGGCAAACTGTGCTCCTCCGATTAGCTCTGTGTTCAGTGATATCTGCTCTTCTTCTAAGAAGAAAGAAAATACGTGTGCTGGAGAGTTGAAGGTCATTTCCATCTTTCATCACCCACTGGAGGGGTGAACAGTCTCTTGGGTCTCACATTATTGCACAGCTCCCCAAACCACTATGAAATAGAGACAATCTTGCTCTCTAGTATAATTGTCATCTTTATTTGCATGGATTGATTGGTCTAAACTAGCTTTTGTTCTTCAAGAAGCTTGCCTATGCCCTGCATTATTCCCCAAGTCCTTGAGTATGGAACTATTTTGTTCCCATTTATAATTGCAGTATAATATTGTCTGTCTCTGAATTCAGGAAAAAGAGGGACTTTTACTGCATATTGAAATCTCATATATGTTTACAGATCTACTAAACATTTGGGAGGTAATCAGGAAATGTCTACTTTTGTGGGGAAAATGTGCTTCTGCCCTTCCCATTTCTCTATTGACATGGGGCCTAACTCAGCCATGGAAAAAGTAAAAAGAATTGCTATTACTTATCCTTACTAGAAAGTAAGTCTTACTAGAAAGTAAGACTGGAATGTTGGCATTAACCCTCTGTGTATGCATCCTAACACCCAACTGAATATTATGGGCTTAAGAATATGAGGTAACTGCACAGCAGCAGCTCCTGAAATCGCATCTCGGCTATTAATCCTGCAGTTTGGTGCTCACAATTAAGTTCATGACAACAGGGTGACACTGTGTAAAATTGCACGGATTTTCCAATGGTGAAATTGGGGATGAAATAGCATTTATGTAGAAATTAAACATACTTGATCTACATACATACAATAATCTTGTATTGTACTAAAATATAACTGAATATGACAATGCCACAGCAAATTTTTACCTTCAGACTAGTTCAATATACTGTGTCTGGGTTCTACAAAATATACTAGACTCATCTTACAGGTCATGAAGTATGTCCTTAGTAAATCCCTTAAGTTTGCAGCTGTAAGCCTCCGAGTAGGCTGTTAAAATAAAGTGGTTTTGAGGAATTTTTTAAGCTCCCATGAATGATTAGTATGCTATGTTATGCTTAGAAGGTGTACATTGTGAAGAAGATTGAGAAGAACTGTACACTTTGTGGTAACAGATAATGTAATCCTGCATATCTACTTGTAAACAGTCTCAGTGGACTCAGTGAAACTTTTTTCACAGGTAAGTGTGCTTAGAATTGCAGTCTTACTTCTAGGAGACTGTCTACATTCAAGTTGTTGCCTTCTATACTTTAACACTGCATTTATTTTAAATAAGTGCAATTTACTTGAAATAGGTCTGCAGTAGACTCATGTGACTTCCATTTGAGAAAATGCATTGAATTGGGCTGCAAAATTTGGTTATAAAATAGTATATTTACATTGCATTAATGTAACTGATTTTACAATATGAAGGATACTGTTGAAACTGGGGCCTTTGGGATTTATATGCCCTTAAATGAGACAGGTTAACCCTATTTTAAAGTGATTATCCTTTGGAATGATAAATTTCTACACTTAAAATAATGTTAATTTAATGATTTAGGGTCATCCCAGTTTTACAGCTTTGTTTTCAAATGTTCTTCTTTTTCCAAGAATACTTGCATCAGTCAAGAACAATTCTGCCCATCTTCAAAAAAAAATCTGTCTTTTGTACATAGTACAACACAACAATAGTTGTTGTCACTCATTTAGATTACCATAAATATGTGCTACCCTAGGCCTGGGCTAACAAAATGTTCTTCACTAAAGAAATAATAATAAGTAGAACAAATAAATTATAAAATATAATAAATAATAAATAAGTAGAAATAACATTGAGCTATTAAAAGTAAATTCATACTTTCAAACATTCAGGTATTCTTTGTGATGAAAGCACATAACAAAGACTTCAGTGAAATTTGGAAAAGAAGAGATATTGGTAAGTTTAAGGTGCAGATCCAGATTGAGTGGCGTAAGGATCTGAGATGAATAATCTAAATTGGTTGGTTTAAGTCAGTTGATCACATAAAAGCAATGTTTTGTAAATTGAACTATATTCAGTTATTATCTTAGGGCTATGATGTCTGGTTTGCAAAATCCAGAGTTAATATTTCTGTTTTTGCTAATATCCAATGGTTATCTAATGATAGTCCTAGTTAATACTTAGCACCTAGATAATTCTTTAAACATCAAAGCACTTTACAAAGTAAATAATCTTCCCACGCTAGGTCATGAGAACATCAGATGGGGGGGGTGAGGGTTTATGCTTATAATTGAAAGAAGCCTATATGATGTATTATTTGTAGTAATGTTATTAAAAATATATATTGAGGTTACATTATATAGGTTCTTCCTTAAAATAATTATTTTAGATTTAGAGAGTACTGAAAACAATCAGGTAGCTGATGCAGCTTTGCTTGAAGAAGAATTTAATTTGTTTTCCTGGTGATAGATCAAGCTATTGCACTACAATGTCACGTCTGACCTGAAGGTGATTTTATTGTCATTTCTTAGAGGTTGTTGTTATTTTTATTTTAAAGTTGTTGGATAGTGTCCTTAAGATTTTTCTTGCTTACTTTCTTGCCTGGGGCGGGAAGAATTTATCTAACTGAATCCCAGTTTATCTGTATAATTTAGGGATTTTTCTTCAAAAAGGAAAAACACATTGTGGTGACTCATATTCTTCAACTAATCTTGAGTGGCTATAGTAAAATGGAAATTGACTGGGAACATTTAGTTGTGTCAGTTTACAACATTCCATTTGCCTCTTATATTCTTATTTATTATATTCTTTTAGTGCTAGTTGACTATTTTAATATAAATCTAAGTGGTATATAAACATATCCAGCAATATTAATATTTCTTTCAACTGGAAATGATCTACAACTGATATAAATTCAGTGGCCTGTTGAGTTTCATGCCTAAATGTGGTACTACCTCTTTCATTCCTAGATAATGCTACTGTTCGCATGTATGCTCCCTCTGCCTTGCTGAATTGGTTTTCATCATTTTCCCCCCTATGTCTGAAAAGTGCCACTCTGTTTAGTTACAATCTATTATTGTTTTACATTAATAGTTATTAGATCTTGAATGGAAATTATACCACTCGGATGAATGTTTGAAGCAGAGTTGGCCATCTGATTTACATTAGCAAATTGGATTTGTGCACTTTAACAAGTATTAAATGCAAAAGTTCCTTAAATATGCTGATGCTGCTTTGCCAAAGATGCCCTCACAATCTTTCAGATGACATGTTACAAGTTAGCACAGCTAGGCAATCTGGATCTTTTGCACAGCAGTATGGATTAGGATTATGCCTAATGGACAGAGATTTAAAAAAAAAAATACAAAGTAAGTGGGGGGTTCAAACTGTCAGTCTCTGAATGTAGCTAAAGAATATATGTGACACATTTTATCAATAGGTCTTTTATTGTGCTTAAATATAAGTGTATAAACAAAAAAATTACAATAAAATTTCAGTGATTGGGTAGCCATTATCAAATAAAATCAGAAATAGGTACATAAACTTGCATTTTGTTTAATTAATTGCACATCTTAAAATAATTTATTGATGTTCTGATGAATTAGTGGAAGGTTGTTTCCATTATAAATAACTGAAAGGGGGTGTTCTTAAAATTTACCCAGATCAATAGTGTTAATGTTAGTTCTTCTGAACATGTTTGTTCCAGACATAAATCCTATTATTGAAAGATTTGTGCCAAATATGGAGAATGGAAACTTCATTTTATGGTAATTCATGTGGTTTTAAATATACATTGATCTTTCCATAATTTTGTTCCTTTTCAATAATCTGCAGTTTTCCTTTCCTGTTCTATAATTTTTCAAACATGTTGATTATAATTATATTTTATCAAATTTCCTCCTGTATGCTTGATGCTAAATACTCATTTTCTTTGCCATCATTTCATCTTAGTTAGCACTGGAGCCACCTTACTGTTTCAAAAAACCTGTTTTCTCAGTTATCAAGCTTTCCCACATTTTAAAATTCAAAACTATCCATGGGAGTGCTGTTGTTCCAAGCCTGTTTTCCAAGTATTCAAATTACCATATTCAAATTACAATTCTTCTTCCAAATAGCATATCCTTTGTTCTTCAGATTGCCATGGGAAATACAATTACACAAGTGTTACTGAATAATGCCTTTGATGAGCATATAATTTCTCCTTCATGTAGTTTGAAAACCTCTGGGTCTTTTTTTTTTTGTGTGTGCAATTAATTACCATTTCTCTTACTATGCAACTGTAATTTTGAAGTATCAAAGATCAGCTTTAAAAAGCATACATATGAGGAATGGCTACATGCTACAATCTTCCTTTGCCCTACAGTTTCAAGAAACCTGATGTGTTGTCTCTAGTTCAAAGCTAGCATTCAAAAAGACTTCTCAATTAATAGGAAAAGTGATGGATGGCAGCTAAAAAGTCCATTGTTAATATTTGGGGTGTGGGGGTTATTACTGTGTAATGTGTACTGCTAAAGATAAAATTGTACATAAGGAATCCTATGAAACAATCTTACATTTCCATAGTCTATACAGCCCAGGATTGGCTGTTCCGGCCATGTTTTTCCAGTGTCTCAGGCAGGGGGTTTCGAACTTGTTAAAGATTGAATCAGGGATTTTATAGAGACAGATTATGTGTTCTACCATTGATTTATGACTTAAACAATAACAACACTAGCAAAATAATCCTTGATTAAAGCTTGCTCTAGGAAGTTTTAAATTTAAATTGAAAAATATCCAAATGATTTAACCAGAAGACATCCAACTAATGTTCCATAAATTTTAATTTATAATATTTAATTAAATAATATTTTATTTCAAGCCTAAAACCTGGGGCCTATTAAAACCTAGAAACGTGTGTAACAGAAATATGCAGGATTTTTGCACAATCTATCTTGATGTCCTTTGTTTCCAAATTGTAATTATTTTTTTCTTTAGCACCTACAGTAGTATTAATGTTGGTGTAGTAAGTGATACTGAGATATTGAAATCTCTGCCATGTGCTTGTTCTCTCAAAACATACAAATTAATATATCTTATTGAACATAGTGTATTCTGTTCTGAAAAAATGTTACCTTTAAACATTATTTGTATACTCGGATAATTCAGATTATGTGGTCCAGAAGGCACATCGTTATGAAACCATCAGTCAGCTGGGAAGATTTGCACATGTGCATGCACCCCATTAGAGACGTAGCCCCAAATGCTTTCACATCAAAGTGATTGCCAAACTTTAAGGAATTGGAAGGCAGAGGTGGGAGAAGTTGGGGTAGGATTTGTACATAGTTTCAGAGATTAGAAACTTCTAGAGAAATGAAAATAAAACACTTTATTTAATTTCTGCTCTAATGGAGAATAGACAAAAGGTCATCAGCTCTGGAATACATTTTTCACCCAAGGCAATAATGGCATTGAATCACTGTATCCAATTCTGAACCCTATTATAAAAATGTAGTAATTGAAAACTGGAGGCCAACCTTGCCCACTGAGACACAGTGAGCAAACTGAGGCACCTTTCTGTGTTAATATCTTTATCTAGCTTTATCTAGCTTCCTCAATTTAACAATACTTTTAACCATGGGATTTAATTCCTGGGTCAGCACTTTTTAGAACATACTGTGTAGGATATTCAAGCACATAGTAAGTAATAATAACTCCTCAGTTGTTATCACAAGATTTTTCAAAACTAATATTGAACAGTGAATTGTAAATAAAACATGAATGCTGCTAAATTTAGCCCAGATTATTTCCTTAACTCAGCTAACATTAAAATAATTTTTAGATCTCTTAGTTCAGTTTCTCTAATTTGCTTTGCTGCAGGCTATCCTGGCATCAGTAATTTAATTTTATATTTATAGTAATTTATAGTAATCCAATTTTATATTTAAGATGCACTTCCCCTTTTTATTGTTTTTTAAACAAATTTGTCATTTATTCTGGGTATTTTACACCATAGATAACAGTCTATGATGTAAAACTTTATTTATATAAAATTTCATCATCTTTCTCCCTTTCCTTTCTTCTCTCAGTTTTTTGGCCAAGTAGAAGCTGAATGACGAGGCCTAGTTTGTTTTCTATTTCTCACTGTTTAAATTCTAAGATTGGATTGCTTACCTGACGCTAAATTTGCTTTTTCCCTTAAATGCTCAGCTCTAAAATAATAAATGATTTTATCAATGGAAGAAAAACACAAAATTCTTTCTCAATAAGCGCTTAGACTTCAGTGTGTTCATTATTTTTATTTTTCCCATTCATTGGCTATGCAAACTTCTATATATTTATTTTAGAATGTTGGTGTCTTAGTACTTAATTCGTACCGTAATTGCTGTTCTGCTCTTTGTCTTTGGTCATATCCTTTTGCCTCTTTTTAAGGCCACGTAAGGATAGGGAATGTGTATATCTCTTATTCAAGAGTGGTATAAATCTCTTCTAAGAAAAATAAAGAGAAAATTTTATAACTAATAATGTAATAAGAATTAAGAATGCTAAAACCTTGCATCTCATATTTTCCTGTTTCAAGCCATTTATTTCCTCAATTTTAGAAAATGCACAATTATTTGTAACTTTTTCACTGCTTTTGGTTAATCCCTGCAGAGTTTTATGTTAGTTTTATTGATTTAACTACATTTGGATTCTGCTGTGCTCCTCCCATTGCAAACTTCAAATGATAAAGCACATATCTGACAAGAATAGTAGCATTCAAACCCGTAGTAGTAGTAGTAGTAATAGTAGTAGTAATAGTAGTAGTAATAGATATAGATATAAAATAATCTTATATAAATAGGTGTTAAATGCCAATCCCATGCAACAGTCTTATTCTTAAAAAAAATCTGTTATAGAGCCAGGTCTTGGCTGCTAGTGCATTTATATCCTTTCTATCTCCAACACTTCCATCTTTCTGTTAACGATCCCCAAAATACATTGCAACCAAAATTATGCTGCCTCTATTTGTCAGTCTTTATTTATAATTTATTGTTTTCCGCATCTATGAACTTCAGGCAAGTCTCTAAACAAGCTACCCAATAGACCACCACTTCTCAGGCACAACATATCATATGTGATTAACTGAAAATACAATCACAGTGCCTAGAAATAAGCTGTTTTTAATAGCATTGGATTTTGTGAAATTAATATTGGTTGAATTAGTTAACTGCACTTAAATTTGAACTGCTTGAAAACAAGATTACCACTAGATGACAACAAAGATTTACCCAGTTTCTGTATCTTTGCTGTTATCTAATGATAATTCAAAGTTTTGCAGTCCATTCGACCTCATTTGAACTTTGACTGAAATAAATTTTGTAGAAAAGTCAGAGAAGTATTAGCCTTCTTTGTATCTCAGATGGTCTAGTTGTTCAGCACCATTATATACAAATGAAAATCTACTTATTTTAAAATCATTGTGAAGTAGTATATTGTTATGGCCATTGTAAACCTTATTTCTTATTGGTAAGTAATTTAAATTACTCTCCTATTTATTGTGGATTACATATTGCGTTTTTTGTGAAAAACCTTACTTTTGTAAAATAACTTTTGAGGTTCCACAAAGAACATGGATTAATTGACTGTTTGGTTAAAACAGTTTCACTGTTATCTGAAATTTATTTCATTATGGGTAAACCCTAGCTGTTTAAAGAGGCACATTGTAGCAAGAGCAGTGCATGGTAATATGATGCATCATAGAAACCTGGTTATAGAGCTCTTTAACATCAAATATAACATGGAAATCATTAATCTACATTTGTATGAACATGAGAAGCACTTCTGCTGTGACTTCCCATTGAAGCTTCCAATTCACGATAAATTTATAAAAACGTACGTAGTCTGATGGTACATTATTGGAGAACTATAGAGCTGGGTTTTGTATCTGTAATAACAGTACAGTTGGAATATTCTCTTTCAATTCATTGCTGAACTGAATGTATATTTTCTTCATTTTTTGGTAACACTCTCTCCATAGAAACAAAATTTCTGCTGTGTATAACTTTCAGGAAGAAAAAAGGCTATCTTTCACTCACCACTTTAAAATTTGGAATATACCTTTGTCATCTGAAATCCTTTCCTTGTAATCTTTCCTTGATTTCATATGTAATCTGCTATTTAGTAATACTGAACTGCCATAACATGAACATCCAGATATTAAAAGCTTTAGCAACTCTGACAAAATGAATGATAATTCCCCTCATCATTATATCAAATGTCCATGGAGTAGCATGTAGATTTAGGTTGGACCAAAAATATATCCTTCACCCTTTTGTATGCCAAGGCCCACTGGTATACTGGGTGAAGCCTCTCAAGGTCAAGAAAGGGCTGTGCTAGAAACATTTGGAGCGGCTCTGAGATTAAGGTACCGACAATTGACCTGATTCACTTTTATTATTTGTATGTGGTATTTTTTATCAAGCATTAAGATATATTCTAATTTACAAAAAAGATAGGCAGTAATATATAAGGAACAGTAATGTTTAAAAATAAAAAAACCTAGCACACACAGTCGATAAAATATTAGTGGTGAAGGTATTTTTTACTTAATATAAACATTTTAGAAAATTAGGCAGACAGAAATGTAGACAGTGCTGAAAATATGGCAGTGCTGGAGTTTAGAGACTATTTCTAGAGCATCACCTGCCTCGCTTTTTAAAATGGGGCTACTCAGATTTAAGTCTCTGAGGAAATTTAAACTATTTAGGATTTAAGATTATGAAATGGACTGGGAGCCAAAATATTACACAATACGATCATGGCCAACTCACAGGTTAATCTGACACTGGC